ACATTTAAAGTGAGTCAGATTATGCTAGGGGATTGGAAGAATTGGAAGTGGAAGAAAATAAATAGGAAAAATGAAGTTTAATTAGGATTAGATTTTACAGATATTAGCAAACTGACTGTTATACAATATAACCAAATGCTTAAGATAATTTATTTTTAAAAAACATTTTAATAATATTTTTGGTTATTATTATTCATAAATTATTAATAAAATCCATGAATATATACATATAGTCCACAGGTGATAATATAGGTTGTATAATATAATTTCAATATAAAAGTAATTTCTTTCGGTGCATTGAGCCCCAAAAGAAGTTGCATCGAGAACAGCACTCGCGTGTAAGTATGTGTGTGTCTTCCGAGTGCCTGAGTGTTTGTGGGTCTTGCGTGAAAGTTTCATAATTACATGACAGTATCTCCAGTCTTCGTTCCCTTCTTTTCCAACATTTTGTTGGTTAATATCGCTGCCTCTGCCTCGGTCGCTGCCAACGTCGTGGCCCACTTCTGCGGAGAAAGTAAGAACGCTGTGCTCACCGCTCCGTGCTTTCTTCATTATCATTCTTCGTGTAATTGATTACATAAGACAAAGGGGCCAGAAAGAGAGGTGCAACACACGAATCTTTCGAATGCTGTGTGTGCGCTCTTACGGTGTTTTACTTTTTTCGGTTCTTGGCTTTTTTCGGGGGTTCTCAATCGGGGGCCTAACGGTACTGTGGCCTAATATTGTAACACACTCGTTTGTGCCTCTAATAATGTCGTTTACCCAATTCCAAAAACTTGTTTAGTTAGCGTTTGTTCGTTCTGGCGTAGCATTCTTCTTCCCTTTCTTGCCCTTCTTCATCGTCTGCTTAGCTCACCTTTCTTCCCTTTCCCTGTTGCGTTTATCACTGTCTTTTCGTTGTGTATCATTTGGTTTCTTCGCAGCCTGGAAATTTTTTGGGTAGGTGGCATTACATAATTGCTTGTCGGCTGTTTTTTGGGGCCTGCTTGCGGCCCGCTTGTTTTTTGGGTTAACTTTTACGGATGGTAATTTGGGAAGAATGTTGGAGTTATGCCTTGTAGAAAGAAGATTTGTTAAGAACTTGTGAGATAATGCTAATGCAATGGGTTCTAGTCATTAGCGGTAGAATTAATATTGGTGTCAAGTAAGCAATGATTTAAATATAAGGTTTATTCTTCAAAATGTAAATATTTCTATGTATAATATAAGAACAATATAGAAGATTACTAAATTCTAGTCATGATCATGAAAAGTCTTTCTTAAAGCAAAACCTACTATACCAAGATCAAAACCTACTATAACTGAAATACCAAAGATTATGCTTTCCAGAAAATTAATATTCTTGAAGAATGGGATTACCAAATCAACCTTAGGAGCTTTTCACGATCTACGATCACTTAACAAGCATTCATTACAGGTTTCTAATCTCCAGAGATCTCCGGTCTTCATTGAAGCCTGACTTTCTCCATGCGAGAAGATTCTCCGCATTTCTCTGTAATGCACTAATTGCTCGGCGTAACGCTTAAATTTCTATAGCTCACGAAGTGCGATCGACAGGTTGACAAAAGCTAAGCTCCGTCGAAAGGTTTTCCCAATTAGAAAGACTTGTATTTTGACGACAACTGGCATTATGTGAAATTCTAATAATTTCATTACGAAAATGAAAAAAAAAAAAGAAAGCAACACAATTGTTGTTGGCGCAGCTGCAGCGCTGTCGACTTCTGCGCCGCCGCGTGCATTGACTTTCCCATTCTGCGTATGTATTTGCTTTCATTATTCTAATTTCGTTGACCAAAAACGAAGAAAATAATGCTACAACAGCCCCAGAAATTGTTTATCAACGGCGCTGAGTAAATAAATGAAAACAAACTCATAAATGAAATCAAGTTGAATGCACACACACACACATGAGCCAGTAAGCGAGCGCGTATAACAAAAATTATAAAATTTTATTATATGACGAATTTCTTTCGGATACTTATAACAACAACGCAAAAGTTGCACGATAAAAAGAAAGCAGAAAGCGTCCGCAGACACAGACACAGACGTTTCTACATGTGACGCGTGAGTTCTGCAAAAAAGAGCCTCTGGGGCTCTCTCTCTCGGTCTTTCAATCTGTCGATCCCCAACCAACCCGTCCCGCTTGCACTCTCTCTTTCTCTCTCTCTCTCTGACTCTCTGGGGAGCTTTTTTTGGCTTTGCAATCGATCATTGAACTTTGGTTGTGAAAACTAGAGCAAGACCCAAATTTCTTCACCAACTTTGTTGCCTCTGTGCATCCACAAACACACTCACAGGTGGGGTCAAAATTTTAGGTATTAATTTGTAATTTTATTTAGAAAATTAAATTTATAAAAATAAAATATAATATATTTTTGAAAATAGAAATGCTGTAAGCTTCTAATTTTATGATAATAACGTTGGTTTCTTTAAATCGAAAGATCACAATGTTGCTGAATAAGAAATCCATTAAAATATTAAAAAATATTTTAAGATATAAAGAATACGATATTTTAATCGTTTTAAATACATATTTATAAACTTGTCTTTGTTTTTATTAATTTTTTTTTAAAGCTCACTGTATAGTATTCTTTCGGCCCCAACTGTATTACACATGTGTGCGTTATCAGCTTCTCTTTGGGGCTCCCACTCGGCTATGGCTTTCTTTCTTTCTTTCTTGCTGGCTTGTTTGCTGGCTATTACCGCTTATGTTAAGTGATTTCTCAAGTGCTTTGTCTTACGGCCAGTAATGAAACCAAAGAAAAAACCAAATGGATTTCTTAGCCGTTCTGATAAGGACCCATATGGGTGAGCGTTAATGTGTCACAAGGTGAAACGCAATAAGACTCCCAAATCAAATAAATTTGTTATAACAAATCATAAAGCAATCTGTGAATCATACGAAATGGGGTAAACTAACTGCGTTTCATAATCGAGTATGTTTGTCTATCATTTATGATATGAGGAAGGAGAGAAATCACATTGCGTATACTTGATAAACTATGGGGAAAGTAAATAATTGTTTTAATCAACGTAACACTCGAAATTCTAAAAAAATCAAAGGGATTTAGTGTTCTTAGAAATAAATTATTTTTATAATTTTTATAGCTTCTAAGACATATTAAATAAATTTTATATATATGTACATTTTTGAGTATAAATAAATTTCTGAACAGCTGCAAGTGATTTTTTTTACGTAAATGTATGTTCTTGGAATACTCACATTTATTTGTTTAATCTTTTGGCAGATCGTTAAATTGCAAAATATAGCAAACAATAAAAAAGTGAAAATATTTATATTTTATTTGTTGCTTATAAAATGGAAACTTTTACTTTAAAAGTTTAATTGAATTCCAAAATACAAACCTTTTACTTAATTAAGCTATATTAAATGATAATACACTTTTTATAATATCTAGATCTTTAGCAAAGATAATCTAATAAATCCAAATTGACTACAATATCTTTCGGTATAAGCAGTAATTACTATACTGGAGATTATAAAAAGATTCCTATCTGTTAGATAGTATTTTCTATATCTAAATATCCTTAATAATATTACTCAATATTCTCATTATTTTATGAGAAGAGCTCAAAGATCGCAATAACCCGATGATTCACATACATACATATATCGGCCTTATTATCTGTCTCTGGGATTAACTGTTAAAGAAAGTCCACAACATTTTTGGGGTTCTGCATAATAAGCGGGGCCGCCGTTATCGGCGTGTACAAAATTTCGGTTTCGTTTGCCGCTTAGAACGGACTGATATACACAGGCGTATCAAAAGTTGGTTTTTTGGGGGGCGGGGATTACCCTGGTTACTGGTATTGCGGGGTCGGGGTCTCCGGGGCCTTTCACATGTGTGTGCGAGACGTTTCGATGCCTGATGGTCGGTGTGTGAAAGTTGTAAGCTCCGCGAGAAGAGAGCCAACTTACTGTTTTTTTTTTCTGCCGCTTCCGAGATTTTCGAGGGCGGAGGAAGCGTGCGTGCGAGCGAGAGGGCTCTCCACTGCGTGTGCGTTTGCGTCTGCGGGAAGTTCATTCACATTTGCACTCATTACGCGGCCAACGTTGGCGTCGACGTCGACGCAGAATCAGACGGACGTCGCGGCTGCCCCCGCACGCTAAAATCTAGAAATTAACGCTGACCAAAAAGTAAGGCAAGGCGCCATCTAAAGGGGTGCTCTCGGTGGGTTTTAGAGGGCGGATTGTCAGAATTTTAATATTTTTAATTGGAATTTAGATAAAATTGTTAATAAATTAAAAAGAACATAATTAAATTGAAGTTCGTAGGGTTTTTCTATCTTTATAACGTTTGATTCAAATTACATTCTATAATTCAGTCACAATTTAATTGGAGAAAGTGAAAAAATATATTTATTGTTCTTTATTATTTTGTATATACAGGTTAAAATATACTTTGAACCTTTTCTAGATAAAAGAAAGCTGTATTTTTCCATGGAATAATTTCTATTTAATATTGCGCAGCCAAATTATGAATCATCTATTTATTGGGAATCTTTAAGCAAAAAATTTGATTATTGTATACTTTTTTTTAAAGTAGTATGGTATTATACAAAAATAAATATAATTAAAATCATTTGTATGAGAATATTTATTGATATATTCTGAAATATTAGGAGTGACCTCAATTTTAAAACTATATTTAACAAAGTTTAATTAAAAAGTTAACAAACTCTTCTGCTCTAAGTAGACACCAGACATTTATTCATTATAAATACAGGAGTGCCCCCGGGACTAATGACTTTAACTCGAAATCCAATGAAGGGGAAAATATGGCTAAATATTTCCAAATCAATTAAACTGCGACTTGACCCCTTAGCACTTGCACCCCTCGTAACACCCCCTTCCTGCTTTGGGTGACGAAATGCGGGGCCCTAGCACGCTTCTCATCACGTTGCCGCTTACAGGTGTCCGATTGATTGCCGTATACCTGCCTACACGTCTCCCTCCAAACAATTGTTGCTCTTGGCGTTCATTCGTTCGTTCGAATTCGTTTGCGATTCGTTTGTGTGTCATGTAATAGGCACAACGAGTAATGTGACTTTCGAGTGCGCTGCAGAGAAAAAAATATAAAAAGTACACAGAAAACAACAAGTCACCTTATTGGGTGTAGATTCTTCTGATTATACTTTATCCAAATAAACAGTTTAAGAGTTTCCAAATATCTGACCAAAATTATAGTAACCAATTTATACAACTCAATTAAATATACTACATTTTAAATTTTAATTTAAACAACAAAAACAAAATCTAAACCCTTACAATAATTTTCTGTGTGCACTCTGCACTTCTGTGGCAACGTGCCTGGGGCCATATACAATGTTTATCGTTTGAAATGGTGTAAGCACCGCCAAACAACCACCCAACCGCCCCCCTTTAACCCCTGAAGACCCCCATCAAACGCTCAGTAGGCCAGGCAGAGGCAGAAAAAGCAGTCACTTGGAGGAGGTTCGAGCCCCAGTGTCACGTTTGCCGCTCACGTTTTCCCAGCAGCGCTGCCAGCGTCGCCGCTTCGAACAGGTTGGATGTTGCATTGGGGTCTGTGTGCCAGCGTAACACTTTGGGACTTACCTGGTCTGGAAAATGTGAGCCGGCCCAGGTGAGCCCGGTGAGGTGACTCGACTCGACTTTGGCGGCTGGCGGGTGACGTCCATTCGTTGCTGTGGTAATCACACGGGCCGCCGCTTCCTCACGTTGCACGGCCAGGAGCAAAGGCATAAACAGACGCAGAACCACTGGCAACACTAAAGGAAAAGCGGGAAAACCGGGTAGCCGGAAAATTGTGATGATGCTGCTGCAGCACTTTGAGGTCAGGTTGGCCAACGGCGTCATGGAAAATTTAGTCCAATAGCGGGGAAAAGCGTCGTCTTTGTTTTGGGTAATTAGGTGGAAATGCTTTCAGGCTACAAGAATATAATTCTAATGAGCATAATGAATTATTATGGAACTTATTAGTTAACTGATATTTTCGATTTCCGGTAAGAAATTAATTAATTGTTCTTGTAATATTTATCAAGTTTATTGCAAAGGTCAAGGACTTGACAAGTTTTGTAAGAGGTAGTGAAGCTGAGTAAATTTTCCAGATATAAATAGAGAGAAAAGAATAGGAAAAGATGTGAAAATAATTTTATTTTATAGGGAAAATAGAATGATATTGAACACTACAATCTTTTAATTGCTAAAAAAGCTATGCATAATTTTTATATAATTATTTTTCTGACAGTTAGAAGGGGTTAAAAGCTGTATTAGAAGACAATATTCTATAGGTTGAGGTTCAGTTGAAATACTGCCAAAACAAATATTTGTTGCCTTCTAAAACATGCTAACAAATATTGTCAATTGCTAAAACAAAATAGAATCAAAATAAAAACTTGAAAAAAAAATACATTTGCTCAGCGGCTGAGCGAGCGAAATGACATTGCAATAATTACATAATGATTGCGACTTGAGACGGGCCTCACAGCGGCTGATCGTTCAGAACAAAGAACGAGTCCGAATGTAAGTCAGCATTCAATAATAAATTAAAAACAATATTATTTTAATGCAGATTTCATCATACATATGGACATTCGTGTTGTTTATATAAGTGTGTGGATGTTTACCTTTCCAAAGGCTGGGTATACGCAGATTGAATTAAATATTGAATGCTAAATAAAAAACTAATTAATTAAGAGCTTGATTACTTACTTAGCATTTAATTGTGGAAAATAAAATGTAATAAAATCAAACCGCATTTGAGTGCAATTAACTGGAATTATTAATATGGACTTTCATCGTCTCGCTAGCAGGCCTGTTTATCTTCCAAGTGCCAAGTGCATTTCCTAGAAAATTCTTTTCCTAAATGACCTATACCAAGATTAGAGACAATAGCCAAACAAAAAGGGTATGTTGGAATGTATGTAAAGGCTTTAAAAATACCCTATAATTTATATATTAAAGATTGAATGATAAACAACCCTAAGAAGTACCTTTATTACCTTTATAGCTTTATAATTATTATTTTATAATTATATAATTTAACAGAACCTTTTCTCATATATTTCATTTATTTGTATTTCCATTCCCACAGAGCATTTCCCTATTCGTTCAAATTTCCCTTCTAATTCGTTCCCGTTAAAACGTAAGAATTACATACTTTGACAATTTCAACTACAATTACAGCAGCGGCTGGCGAGCACGTTGCCAAGTAACAACAACAAGCTTGAAAATTGAAATCAATGCATTTCAGCGCCTCTTTTTCCTACCCTCTTTACCCCTCAACAGTGTGCAAACAAAATTCTTGCGAAGATTTGCATTTTTCTAGACGAAAGCCCCCCGCAAGCACCCAGCATCGATAGGAGGGTGTTATGGAAAAAAATAATGTTATTACAGCAAAGGAGCTGGAACAATAATATTACAGTGGAACGAGGCTAAAGGCGACTTTAAATCCAGCTGAGCTTACTTGTTGTAGTAATGCGTATACGTAATATTACTTATACGCTGTTAAGGTGTTGAAAATATTAAGTATACGCAGTGTAGGATTGATCAGTTTTCTAATCGGTTTTAAAAGCAAATATTTTTAAATTATTGTTTTAGTAATGCGTATACGTAATATTCCTTACATGAGGAGTAAAAAAAATAACGTATGCGCAGTGTAGGATTTTAATATTATTATAAAGCCATAGATGTTTTAAAACAAAAATTACGATAAATTTAAACATAAATTGGAAGTTTTTAAATAAGTAAATTAAGGCAACCAATTAATGTTCTAAAATTAAAAAAGCTTTCCTAATATTACCAGAATTAATATAAAAATATTTCTTATTTTAAATTTGTATAGCCCGTTTAACACATTTCCTATTTCGCCAATCTCCACTGTATAATCGAGGGAATTCTAAAAACAATCGCAATAAGTGGGTAACACGTTAATTTCCATTTGGCTTGCGTAGCCCCGGACTCGAGTCGCCAACATGTGAGCCGTCGAAAGCCGCTAACCGGGAGCGTTGCACTGCCCGCCGCTGCTGCCAGCATTGCAACGCCGTCGCTGGGCACATTTTCCGACACGTGACGACCGCTCGAGTGTCGAGCGTTCAGCGTTTACCGCTGAGCGTTTTCCCCTGTTCGCCTTTCGGCGGCGAGTCAGCAGCGGCAGAGCGCACGCCTCTCCTCTCGCAATGAAAATATAAATAGCAATACAGCTTGACTGCTGATGTATGCAGGGGTGGGTTCTTTCTTTAGTTGTTGCTGGAAATTGCAACGACGACGACTGCGAAGGCTGAGGTGTTTCGTAACACCTTTTAGTGTTACACACACCCGCCTCCCTTCCTTGACTGATTACCTTATAGTTGTGTTGGAACTGAAATAGCTGAAATGTTCTGTGTCGGCGGCGAACACTCTTACACAGAATTTGATAAGGGCCAGGCCGGCCAGACTCTACGTATATTTGCATACTGATAATAATGGCCGGGATTCGAGACTGGGTCTGGTTCAAAAAAACGGATGTGACTATGGGGCTTTGGGGGATACACACGATTGGTTGGGACACGTGAATCCAGCAGCTCACGTGGATATCTCGGAGCGATCATGTAATTGGGGATTTGCTCAGCGATGATCATAGGGAATTAGTATCAAGCAGCAGATCGAATGAGTTGCTAATAGTTAATCCAGATTGCACTAGTTTGGTAACTGAAGCCAGAGCATTAATTAAGAGTGTTTAACATATACAGTGAGCGGGTCAGTTATACTAATAAGATACAAGTGGGTATTAAAAAAACGTTAATTTAAGGTCTGATAAACTTGTTAAATATAATATGATCTCGATAAATACCCCCACAAACAATTGTATAATCAAATAGTTCAAGAAAATAAAGGTATTATCAAAGTAGAGAAAAAGCCAAAAAAATCTAAAAATATGTAAGCTGAATTTTGAGTTTTTAAATATTGAAAAATATCGTAATCAACTTTATATCAATATCGATATATTTCCAAAAAATATCGGAAAACTAGTATATAAATTATTCCTTATCAGATTTTAGTGGCGCGATATATAAAATAAAATAAAATTGAAATATCGAATTTCATATATCGACTTTTGCTGCATTCATCGATATAGTATTAATTTTATATCCAACAGGCAGGAGGCACACTTACAGTATGCACAGAATGTGAACAACTACCATTCTAACATACTTAAATAAATGTCATCATATGTCACTATTATGCATTTTTCCTTATCTCTAACTTAAACAAATATTTCCCTTAAGTAATATATCAGTTATTGCAGCATAAAAACAACCGAGTTTTACATAATAAACCACCGATAGCATTGCAATGAAGTTTTCCTGGTTTAATAATAGAACTTTTCCGGGGAAGAGAAGTAATCCAAAAAAGATAAAACCATGTACAACACTTTATCAGGCTTTGTTATATGTATTTCCTCAATTACTCCTTGGTTTTGTATACATTACTGTGTTTTTTTTATGACATTTTGTAATCATCCTTGAGACCGTCGTCGTCGTGTTAATGCGAATTCAATAGAATTCATTCTTTCGATTGGCCCCTGTGTTTATTGTGAGCTTTCCTCTATTTGTGATTCAGCGACGATGGCGGAACTTACATAATGTGTCCCGACCTTACTTTTTACTTCCAAGTCGTCCCCTTTGTTTGTCATATGAAGTGGCTTTGTTTATACAGCTATTCTGGGTCTTGTTCCTTTTGTTTTTAACTGCAACTAAGTTGATAATGCGCTTGATAAGCGTATCTCAACCCCAGGCCCAAGTGTTTAATTATAATTTATATAAGCTCTAGAATGGTTTTGTAATGCCGCACCAGACAGTTTGGTGGCTGCAAAGATATCGCCGTGACTGGGTATTATTTACTTACATACCTTGTTTAGTGTACAAACTACAAATATCCAAAGTTACAAAAGCCACGTGATCAATCGAGGGGCACTACCTCTATCTCTCTATTGGTTTTCCGAAGTTCACGGGGACTAACTATATTTTTTAGTTGACTGCTTATTTTGCCATAATTGTTAGTTGGAAGCTATATATGGAGTTAAGTGTTTGGTCTAGACGGCAGGCAGGGATTTTTTATGAATTTTCCAATTGAGTATGGGAAAACAAGAAATTTATTTTAAGGTCAGTCATAAAGTCAAGGGTTTTTAATCTGTATTTAATTCCATGTTAAACTCTGAAATGGAAACCTAAATCGTATAATTACTTTTTAGAAATATTTAAAACATACAGTATAGTCTTCTTTAAATTTTAATAAAATATATGTAGGCAAGATCGCCTTAAATAATTTAAAAAATATATACCAAGAATGCCTTTCCGACACACGCGCAAATAAATTATTATTTCACATTTACATATATTTATTTTGTAATACCTAAAACTGTGTATTCATCAATTTTTTTGGAATTCCATATGGCCACGCTTATTACCATAATGATCTCTTGCTGGCACTTTTTTATTAATTTTTTTCGTAGCAATTACAGAACTGCAACAACAATTATGTATCTGTATGCAAATGCCAAATTCGTAATTATTATATTTTACACTTACAGAGGGTATTAAAAAAATGGTTATTTACGTATTATATTTTATACATATTTTTTAAATATACTTTATAAAGTGTTATTGTAAATTAGGTTATCTTATAACCAAAAAAGAATTTAAAATTATTTATTTGTATTATAAAATATATTGAGGATAATATACATTATACATTATATTAAAACCTTGTACTTTTTTTATAGATAATGGTTTTTAATAATTTGGAATATGAAACATACAATATATTTTTAGCCTTAAAAACTCTGTAGTTCTCAAAGATATCACTTCAACTTCCAAGTGTATTCCAGGTTTCGGTTCTCCCAGTGTTCCATTTATTTCTGGTTAATAATATGTTTGTTGTTTTTGCATTTGTATTTCTCTGAACATTTTGTGTAAGACGCTTGCGTCACCATCAATTCCAATTGGCACACACACACACAGACACACAAAGCCACAAGCCGAGAATCCGAATTGGAATCAGAATCAGAAACAGAATCAGGCTGAAAACTCACGCGGCCAAAGCTAGTCACCTGTGTATGATATGTGCGAGTGTGTGTGTGTTTGAGCGTCAAGAGCGACGTCGCAACCCCCACCCTCCCCAGACCTCATCCAGCCAAATCACGTTCTAGTTTCGAATGTGCAGCTCAGAACGATTTCAGATTGCGCGCTCGCTGATTACTCAACAACGGCAATGTGATCGCTTGCAATCCAACTCGAACACCAAACCAGGTCCGATTGGACGCCCAGTTGGGAAATTTCACTTTTACCCGACGCCAGGCAACCAACGAACACGTCGCAGCAGTGGTCGCAACAGCGGTCGCAGCAGTAGTCGCAGCAGCGGTCGCGTGTAGCGTGTGCGTGCAGCTCAACGTGACCGAGCAGCCAGCAGCGCAGTTCGGCGGAGAAATGCTTTTACAAGTCCAAGCGAAGTTTGTTAAGCTCAATTGCGATTCGGCGTTCTATCGAAGCGGTTGTGCTAGCTCTCGCAAAGCAAACACAGATACAAAGATACAAAGAACATATACAAGGCAAAATCCGATCGGATCGAGATAAGAGTTCCGTTTTTCGTTCGGTCGTTTCGAGAATTCGTTTAAAAGCATTTCGGCCAAGTGCACTAACCGCAGAATCGGCGCGCTAGCCAACAAAGCCACAAGAACCATTTGAAGAAAGTCTCCCAAAAAAATGAGAGCACATAAAAAGTGATTCTAAAAGTGATTAATTATCAAGTTGAAAAATATTATTGAAAAAATAAATTTTAAAAAAAACATACATTTCGCTTAATGAACGTCATGCCAAAAGCGTAAAAATAAACATTATGTCGATTGTCTGCACGCTGGAGCAAAAAGTGAACTTTTTCAAGGCGGCTGCAACGACCAAGAATCTGTTGATACTCAAAAATAGTACGGATACCAATTACCAGGATAACACCAACTCCAACAGCAACAACAAGCAGATACAACGTAGGTGCCACAAACAACAGTTAATAATACAGTGTTCAAGAACAATAACACAAGCAACACGCCAAAGTTTGCAACGCAAAACAAAATTACCCAAAAAAAAAAAAAAAAAAAATAGCAGTGAAAACATGCGGAGAAAGAAGGGGGCTCCGCTTAGTCATTTTGTTTTTGTGAATTTTGTCAAGACGCGCGAGACTGCAGCGCTGCCGCTCTCTCGCTGCCTCCCTCGCTCGCTTAGGGGTTGCCGGCAGCTGCGCGGCCAGCGTCGACGCCGGCAGCGTCTGGCCGGAGTGCGAGCACATTGAACTGTAAATGCCAATTCGATGGTCACGGTGAGGGTGAGAGACAGAAAGAAGGAGAGAGTAGAGTAGAGTGGGGGAGAAGAACACACATACGCACAGAGGGCCACAAAATCTGCGAGTGTGATTTCTTGTTTACGTTGCGTCTTTGTGTCTGTGTCGGTTCTATGTTCTTTGTTGTCCCCCGTCTAATTTTCGCTCTCATGCTCTCTCGGTGATTCTTGCATCATTGGCCGTAATCATTGTGTAAATGCTTGCGCTAAAAACGAAAGCAAATGCTTGGGGAGCAAGAGCAATGGCGGCCGTGGGGCAAGGGCAAAGGCAAGGGCAAGGACCATCGAACAAAGAGAGTTCTCTGTGTGCGTGTGGCGCTTGTTTATGTGTGCTTGGGCCAGACAAGATCGCATTAGACATTAACGGGACTTGGCATCTGGACTGGAACTCTTTTTTCAGGCAATTTTGCGATAAGGGAGAACTACTTACTATATTTACCTGTATTTATTCGCCATGTGTGACATGAAGCGAGATAAGAGTGCTTTTGAAAGAAATGCCATAAACAAAGTGATAAGTGAGAATTGTTATGGTGGCAGGAAAAGAGATATTCGGCGTAATCTTTGATTTCGATTTGGGAGCAAGGTCTTATTTGTTTATTATTATTTTGTAGTTGCCAAAAAAAGAAAACAAATAAAAAGCATTGCCTGCCTCTAGGCGTAGGAAATGAGTCGCAAAATGGGGTTATTAGTCATTAAACAAGAAAAGTAATAGTTTTTTTAAATTAATTTGAAGATACTATTTAAAAGGAAAAGTATATGTTTATAAAAATTATAAATATTTTATGATTCACATAAAAGCTTATATAAAGTTAAGAATTTATGGGAAAATGAAAATAAAAGATATGTATACTGTGCTGGGAACTTTAATCAATCCAAATTGTTTTTATGGCATCTGTAGAACTTTATTAAAATTTATTAAAGGAAATAAGTTATAAAAATTTTTTTTTCTTACGAACTCTTTTAAAAAACAGAAAAGACTTAATAAATTGGTAACATATAGAACGTAAAATACTATGGCGTTATAAATAAACATTTTAGGAACAAAAACTTAATTTAAAATACAACAAAATAATACTTAGTAATATTAGTAATAATATATTTAATTTTACAAAACAATACAAGTTTACTAACCAACCCACCTTATTCTCTTCCTTTACAGTTCCCCGCGTCCAGCAGCATCACAGCAACAACAGCGGTAGCAACCTGCACCAGCAACACCAGCAACACTTGCAGCAGACACTCGCCCAGTTGCAGCACATCAGCCAGCAGAAGCTAAACGCCGGTGACTTTAGTCCTTACGGACCACGCCCTCATACCGGAGGCAAGGAGGAGTCGCTTCTGTTGCTGGCACCGCCAGCCAAGCTTTATCCGGAGGCAGCAGTGGCAACAGCAATGCCCGAGGTGCTCAGCGCCACGCCCACTAATAGCCACAACAAAGCCATCGCCAGCGCCTCGATCGCCATGATGAACAATGTCCGCTTAACCAACATCTCGCCGACGCTGTCGATGAACGGCAGCTCCAACGAGGCCACTAATTGTGAGTAATATTTAGAGATTGCAAATGCGAAATTCTATAAATTCCCGAGATTTTTTCAAAGAAGAATGTCGAGTAATTAAATATAAAATTAACTATTTAGTCAAAATTCTTTAAAAAAAAATTCTTGGGAAAGAAAGCTTGAGTTTAAAACTTTTTAAATTCTAAAATCCAAAACTAATTTCTACAACTCTTCTCTGTTACAGTGCATCCCCTGTCCATGTACGGAGGTTCCATTAGTCCGCAGTCCAATGACAGCGGCATGTCCGACAGCATGGGCAAGTTTGCCCCCAGGAACGGCTACGACGACAACATGATGGGCAAATCACAGAACGGCAATGGACCCCAGTCGGCCATGACAGCCGCCCAAAAAGAGCTCTTCTCACAGCGGAAGCAGCGCGAATTCACACCTGATAACAAAAAGGACGAGAGCTACTGGGATCGGCGGAGACGCAACAATGAGGCGGCCAAGCGAAGCCGAGAGAAGCGACGCTACAACGACATGGTCCTCGAGCAGCGCGTCATCGAGCTGACCAAGGAGAACCATGTGCTGAAGGCCCAACTGGATGCCATTCGCGACAAATTCAACATCTCTGGCGAAAACCTGGTCAGCGTGGAGAAGATCCTGGCCTCGTTGCCCACCAGCGAGCAGGTGCTAAGCAACACCAAGCGCGCCAAGATTAGCAGCAGCGGTGGTTCCTCCTCGGGATCCTCGCCCTCAAACAGTGGCTCCGGTGGTGGCTCATCTCCGGGTGGCCACAGTCATAGTGGTTACCCCGTGGGACCGCCACTCTCTCCGCTGATCTATGGACCCAACGCCAATGCCCGGCAGGAGGCTACAGTGAAGAGTGTGCATCACATACAGCATGCGGGTGCCCCGCTTCAGGTGCCTCCAACACCACCGCACATGCAGACCTTAATTGTGCCCACGCCCCAGCCCCAGCAGCATCTCTACCAGCCACAGATCCCGCAACAGCAGCATCAGCTCCCTCCTCACCAGCCACAGCACCCGCAGCAACAGCAGTCGCAGCAGCAACAGGAGCCCAGTCCAAGTGCTGGGTCAAGTTCGCCAGCCGTCTCCGATCCGCACAACCGTCCGCCCACCAGCACCATCGCCAATCTCCAGGTGCAGCTCCAGCAGGCGCTGAACAGGAATGTGCGACCCGAGGATTTGGATAGTCTGCGCAAAGCGGTGGCCGCCGGAGCCCTCTACAATGCGGCGGCTGTTGTGGGAGCCGCAGCTGCTGCTCCTCCACCGCCACCACCCGCTGGATTATATGTCCCAACGCCCAGCGCCTACAAGGATCACCTGGAGGCGGCGGCAGCTGGCTCCCCCTGGAGTCACAGCGTCGAGGCTGCCGTGAGCAGCAGTGCCGTGGATGCGGTCAGCAGCTCATCGGTGGCCGGCAGTGCGGCCAGCGTGCTGAATCTATCACGGCGGGCGTGCTCACCCAGCTACGAGCACATGCTCTCCTCGACCACCTCCTCCTCCGCCCTATCCTCCGCCTCCTCTTCGGGTGCCGTCTCGGGAGACGATGAGCAGGAGCACGAACCAGCGCACTTGGCTCCTCTGCAGCTCCAAAGGAGCAGTTCCCAGCAGGGCAGCGATGCCAACAACTGCTTGCCGCTGAAGCTACGCCACAAATCCCATCTGGGAGACAAGGATGCGGCGGCCACGGCTCTGCTCTCGCTGCAGCACATCAAGCAGGAGCCCAACTGCAACAGGGCATCACCGCCGGCTTGGAACGATGGCGGTGACAACTCCAGCGATGAACGCGATTCTGGGATCTCTATTGCCAGTGCCGAGTGGACGGCGCAGCTGCAACGCAAGCTGCTGGCCCCCAAGGAAGCCACCAATGTGGTGTCCAGTGCCGAGCGCGATCAGATGCTCAAGTCGCAGCTGGAGCGCCTGGAGTCCGAGGTGGCCAGCATCAAGATGATACTGGCAGAGTAACTCGGCTTGGAGTGGCGAATTCGCAGGAGCTGGAGCTGGAGCAGGAGAGAGAGCGAAGAGACAGAGAGACTTTGAAGGGATCAAAGTAGCAGGAGCGGAGAGTACAGAGTTGAGAGTTCCATGGCGCCAGTACACACACACACAAGTTTTAAACATAAGCTTAAGAGTATATATATAAATATGGGAGTCCAAAAAGAGTGTTAACTATTAGATATCGATGAATGCTTGTCCCTATCTCTATGTATAACCTGGCTTAGACGTATATCTATCCACTGTATTGAGTCTTGTATCTTGTATCTATTTATATGTGTATGTTTAACTATATAGATCTCGTCGAACTCGGAGCTAAAAAATCCTTAGGGTCACCCACCCACAAGTAGAATTTCATATTTAACCTCTATTTGCATAGCTATTCACATCCGGTGACCTCTTGTATGCATCCCAAGTTTCCTTAGCACAGCGGAGAAAGAAGTTAAGTTACTGTACATATTACACAATTAATATTACTTACTATATATATATATATATTATATATATAACCATACGTATTCCTATCGTGTACATAATTTTAGTTGCAAGCTAAACTTATTATTATTATATTAAATTAGTAAAGCAAACATATACTTTATATTTAAGGAAAGAGTAAAGCACATAAAAAAATGAAAAAAGTGAGAGACGAAATAAATCTGAGAAGAATTAAAAAATATTTACATAAATATATATTCTGCAATAAATAACTTTAAATATCTTACCTTAATGTTTGTCGTTCTCAATTTATTTATTGTTTGCTGCTTTGGTTGCTGTCACAGCGCTTTAACTAAATGTTATGAAAAAGTTTAGGAAACACACAAAGCATATTAGCTGGTAGATATTATTGATTCAACAGATGTATTAGTGTCGAGCATTCACTTTTAAAGTTGTATTAAATGCTAAAGCATAACCATTTACATTTACATTAAAAACAAAAAACAACAAAAAAAACAAGTGAGGAAGCACACAAGAAAAATACATATGATTATTACTACATTACTATGAATATGAATATATGAATATTTAAATGATGTGAATCTATACCAACTAAATATATATATATATATAACTCGTTTGTGTTGATCAATGAAAATAAAACTATTTATAATGATGAAAAGAAGAGTAACTGAGTTTTATTGAATTATTGAATCCATTTGCAAATGACTCATGATTATCAGTTGCATCACGGTCGCCACTAAAAGAAATTACATCACTTTACAGTAAGTACTTCCCCCTTGTTAAGTAAAAACATTCTAGCTGAGTGGTAAAGAGATTATTTATTCTTAATGTTGCCTTGTTATTCGTACAACGAAAAAAGTTTTGAAAATTTAAATTTATTTAGAATAATATCGTGTTGTTGTTTGTTTGTTTTATCATTATTCGAAATACAGTATAAGTATAATAATTAAATATTCTCTGTCTTTATAATAAATCCTTAAACATCACATGAAAAGTTTTTCTTGTTGTTGGGTTTTTTTTTCTTTATAATTTTTAAATACTTTCTATCCTTTCTTTGGTATCATTCGGTTTTTGGTTGTCGAAAATTTGAATATCTTTCGTTTGTTTCGTTATTAGCCTAGGAAAAACGAATCTAGTCCACAAAAGTTATAGACTTAGATCAAGACCTGTTTATAAATTTCGTTTATACATATATATAGATATATGTATATATATAATAACTTAATAATAGTAAGTACCATATGTTGTGGTTTGGTTGAGGGCTTTGGTATCTTATCTTTGGGTTGGGATCTTGGTTGTAAATATATGTAAATACAGAATTTTCTTTGGTTTAAGACGATTTCTCACTTTGTGTTTTCTTTTTTTTTTGTTTTGTTTTTGGTTGTATATAACTCCCCAGCCTTGCCTTGAAGAATAGCTTTTGCGATATTTTGGTGTAGAGGTCTGTATATATATATATATATCCTTTATCTATATTTAGTATATATAGTTTTCGTTAAGTTTTCTGTGTTCTGTTTTCGATTTCGTTCGGTTTGAGAGTGCGCAACTGTAAATTGTAGGTACTTATTAACTAACTACAAACACAACACATGCCGCCACGCCATGTAAAATTTCAGGGGGGGGGTTCGTCTTCCGAATTTTGGTGGCTGAAAAAATCCATCAAAATGCTAAATGTTCTAACTAAGTTTCCTTGGGTTCTCCTTCTTTACTTGCTTTTTTTTTTGTTTTTTTGTTTTTTTTGGCATTATCTAAGAGAGGTCAAGAGTGTTTTTGTTTTACTTTTTGGTTTTGCGTTTTTGGAAAACGTTGATTTGGCCTTAAACTTTTTGGTAGATTTGTTAGCTTCGGTTGGGTTCTGTTTATAGTGTAAGTGTTTGTGGCCAGAGTTGTGTTTTGTAATTTTCACTAATTATTTTTTGTTAAAATTTAAGGAAGTTATTATAGCAGTTTTGGGTGAGTGCCCCGTTTTGAGCATCATTAGGTTTACTTTCATAATGAATACGGTATAACGACAATTACTTAGAAGTTTCTCTATCATATAAATAAGTTTTAAATAAAATAATGCTTATGAAAAATAAACTACAATTAATATAAAATTTTAGAAACCTAGACTAAAAAAGATCAACTGAAAAACCCTATTCCTTACCCACAACTCTGGTTTGTGTTTGTGTCGAGTGTTTGGTTCGAGTTTTCGTGTAAAAAGGTACATGATAAGATTGTTTCACGACTCATCACTCCCGAGCTGGCTTGACTTCTAGACTCCAACTCTACGTCACTTGGTTGACATCCCCTACATTGCCCGCCGAAACGGAGACCGAGGCCGAGGACATGGTGGCCGTTGTGGTTGAAGCCTGGACAGCCATCACAGCTGCCGCCGCCGTGGTCTGCTCCTGACTCCAGGGATGCACCATGTCATAGTACTTGCGGTAATCATAGTCAAACAGCTCGAAGTCGATGCGATATATCTTGAGCAATTGGTCCAACGTTGAGCGATCGAGATCGGCGAAATAGCGCTCGACCAGGACCTCCGATTTAACGCCACTGCGCGCCTGGTTGCCAATCTTGCGCTGCTTCCTCTGAGGCAACTTACCCAAACCCAGCAGCAGCGATTCCAATCCCGCCTGTCGAATAATAAACTCCGAATCGCGCTGAAATGTCTCCGTCTTGCCTATGATGGTGAAGTTGACGCTGCAGGGCGTACAGAAGCTGTACACAGGAGCCCAGTGCTCGTCGAATCTCTTGCCCGCTGCATGTTCAGCGATCAGGAAGCGCACAAACTCCTCAAAGGTGGGTCCACATCTGGGCCAAGGTCCGCCCAGCTGGCGATTTCTATAGCGATGCACAATCTTGGTGCCCAGGGCCTTATAGAAGGTGTTCTTGTTGCCCTCCAGTTTGTTGCGATAGGCGCTCAGTATCCGCTCGAAGGGATCGCGCACAAAGAGAAAGGATAATGCACTGGGCAGGAGTTCCATTAGCTCAGCGAGCTCCGGCCGAGGGAAACGCTTTCGCGCCAGCTCCAGGGGCTGTGTCTCTGTGCGCTGCAGATACTTCACATCGTAGCCAGCTGAGGGAATAAACAATAATTTAAGATAAAGAAATGTATTAACTAGCAATAATGCTAAGTTATTCTGTAAAGGTATTAATTATAAGGCTACTGGGGCCTATAAAAACTGTTTAGATATACTATAAAAAAAGAGTAGGTTGCAGGAAATAATCTAGATTCCATAAGAGGGCTTTACATATTTATAAACGTAAATTCTGTAATTTTCTATAATTTTTAATTTGAGAGGGAGAAGGTATAGGATGGGTGATGAGCATAGGAGATAGTAGGGCTTTATAGCTAGAAAGTCTGTACTTTAACTGACTACTTTTTTCGAAGTAGCTTGTAAATCTATTTTACTATCAGAAGGACAAATTTACGAAGTTATAAGTACGGATATGTATATATATATAAGTATCAGAAATTTTAAATCAAAGTTCTTGCTCTGTACTCTAAAGGCGTACCCCTGAGATACCTACCAAGTATATTAAAGTAATACATCCACGTGCTGCTGGCTGCCTTGAAGACATTGCACCTAAAAAAAACACATTACAGCGTTAATACACATAATAAAAATAATATTATTAATAATTAAATTCCACTAACCAAACAAGATTGTTATGGCCCGGTGAGACGAAGAATTCCCAGGGATTCGGTGGGTACTTTTCCTGCAACTTATAGCGTTCGCAGACGGCGGCCAGGTGTTCGCTTCTCCGCTGCAACTCCCGCTCAGTGCGACTGTGCAGCTCCTCGGAGTACTCGTAGACGGGATTCAGAGTGCTCACAGGCAGCGACGGCGGTGGAGGTGCCGAAGGCACTGAGCTGGAACTTGAGTTGCCGGCGAAACCCTTGCCCTGCTGCTTGATGAGCAATCTCTGACGCTGCAGCTGCTGTCGTTTAAGCTTGAGCTGTTGCTTTGAGGGCTCCGCGTCCGCCTCCAATTCGGCAGCGGTGGCCCGTTCCCGATGCTCGTAGGCATTGAGGGATTCGCGGAAGAGAAAGGCAAAATAGCAGAGACCCACCAGGACACAGGCACCTATCTTAAGATAGGTCTGCAGTCGTCTTCCATAGCGCAGGCGGATGAGCATTGTTTCTGGGAGTATTTCTACCACGACGGCCTGTGGCGAGATCTAGGCATGTTCTAAGGATGTGATAGGGGTTCTGGAAGAGGATTAATAATTAATATTTAAGATTAGAATTAGATTAGGGACTAGGAAATATTTTGTGGAGAAAACTTCTTTCCTAATTAATTAGGAAATATTTTATAGAGGAAGCTTCCTTCTTTATTAATTAATTGGGGAATATTATATTGGGAAAGTTTCATTATATGTTCCAGTTTCCTTTGGCCCCCTTGGCGCATACTTAACGTCTTTTCAAGGCACAAAATATAAATAATAAACCCAGTTTGCAGCTTTCTGCTTTCCACCCCCCAAAAGCAACTCCTAAACTTCCTTTTTGGCGCTTTCGCCACTTGTTGGTGTGTATACACAGCAAACTACACACACACACTCGGCGACACACATTCCTACTCTTGGCAAACTACGTCATAGCCGCACACAGACACCCAAACTGGGACACTTGAGCGAAAAAGAAAAAAAAAACTGAACTGGCAACAAACATACACTCGGAAAGTAGGACGTCATCCTTAAGCGTCAACACTTGCCACTGCAGTTGCCGCTGCACGAGTAGCTGCCCCTACTTGCTGCCTGTCGAGGAGGGGGTCATTTGCTGGCCGGACTGGGAATTGGCCGCTGATACATATCTATTTCCTAGCACGAAGGCTGTAAAGTATTCACAACACCTCTGAGACCACTTGAGGGGCATTTATAGCTGCCCTGGACGACCCCCGTTGTCGCCAGGACGCCTAGTTAACCCATATGTCTGTCTGGTCCTCTTTAGCTCGATGGGAAAGTAATTAGCTTGCAGGATAACTCACTCACTTGGCAGCGCGACGGGCGTTTTAATTTTGATTGCTATTTTTCGGTGGCTCCCTGCGCGTGTATGTATATACAGCACTGAAAGCCTATGGCGCCCGCTCCACGCTACCCTCCTCCGCCTGCTCCTCCTCCTGCGGCTCTGTTACGTGTTGCGTTTGGCTTCGGGGCTCCTGCTGCCTGCTCCGCTTCTGCCGTGCTGCTCACGGCGGCCACTCGCTCTCAACTGCCAGTCGGCGGCTGGCTGCTGGTCCTGTGTTCTGACTCTGCTCCTTCGGAAGCCGACAATCCCAGGCATAGCGCCTGCGCAGGGAGAGCTGCCAGAGTTACACTGGGTCGGCGGGAATGTTGCTAGCTGGCCACCGGGTGAAATCACAGGATGTTCCGGGGCTTTTATGTGATCATCAACAGGGGCAGAAAATAATTTTTTATTTCCATTTAAAAGGTTAAAGATTTAACACTTTAAAAAAAATTGTAATGATGCAAACCTAACTCTTTATTTTTTTACTTACTCAAATTTTCGAAAGTTTCTTTATATATTTTAAAAATTTATTAAATTAAATTCTGATCAAGAATATATATGGGAAATGACTCCTTGATAGACTAAAGATCTGAAATATTTGAATTTAAATATTTATCAATATATTTTTTATTAGATAAATAGATAGTTTCTTGAACAAATCAAAGCATTAAAAATCTATAACCAAGTCAAAATAACATAAATTTTAATTCTAAATGCTTTTTTTTACTATTACAAAATTTAATTTTTGAAAAAACTAATTTTTTTTTAATTGTTGAAATTTTTAATGATGTAACCCCTTATAAAATTTTCATATTTTGAAAAAAAGTAAAAATGTATTTTTTTTTTAGCATGGCTAGATAGATTCGCCTGTTGATGTTAATTTATTGTGTCGGAAATGACTCCTTCGCTGCGTTATTCTTCTAAAAGCTTATATTATATTATTTTTAATAAAGATTTTAAGTTGAAAAACATTTTTTACAACCGCAATGCTTGAATAAATTGAATTTTTGATAGCTCTCTTACCTTTGGCTATCAGCTTCCATTCCTTGTTGACTTTCGTCTTGAAACTGAGATTAAAATAATTAAAATCTTGATTGTGTCGTGGCCTTTCGGACGGGCTTCTATATTTCTGGGATTTCAAGTACTAAAAAAACCTAAACAAAGAAATTTTCTTTTTCAAAGAAAATATTCCACAAATATTTATAAAAGCCAAAAGTATTTTCATCTGCGAAAAGAAAACAACTTTGTTTTATTTTTTGTGTATATTAAATCTTTGTATTTTTTCCTTTTCTATAAATATTTTACTTTAAAGTACAAACAAATTATTAATAATAAACTTCTAATACTACGTTTTTAAGACACTTTCGTTTTTTGTTGTTGTTGTTCATCTTGTGTGGTTTGTTTTTTCTTTATACTCTTTCATTTTGCATTTGCATTTAAATATATATATTATTTTGTTGTGTGAGTGTTGCTGTTTCTGAAGCGCTATATAAATGATTTATCCATTTTTATACAACTTTTCCATTAACTTTGCTGAGTGTGTTTTAAATCGGGCTTATTGCAGCTGCTCTCGGTTGTTGTGAGTGTGTGTGTGTGTGTGGTTGTTGTGGCGGTCCGAAGAAGTGTGGTTCAAACAAGGATCACTAAATATGCTTCAATTTTCGACACTGGCTGGATTATGGATTCCGGGTTCTATATACGTCTATCGGTACTATATGGTACTATATGCAAGTTATGCTAGGGGCTTACATTTTGTTTTGTTTTTTTTTTTTGCCTTGCTTTAAAGTAAACATGTACAAAGTATCAAAAGAACTATTTTATGTAGCAATCATCATACAATATATATAAGATAATAATAATATTGAACAATATATATATATATGCGTGTGAAGAAATATATATATATATATATAATGTTGTTTTGTTTTGTGTTTTTGTCTAGCGCTTTGCCTTGCTTTGCTTCAATTACTTTACTCTTTGTTTTCCCCTATTTGTTCAAATAACATTTAGCAAAAATAGAGCCTGCCTTATATACAATACAACTTTTTTTGTTTTCTTTTGTGTGTGTGTGGTTGGTTCTCCTTCACGATATTCCCTTTTAGTTTTGCAAAATATATAACATTATATACGGTTTGTTTCTGTACTTTGTATATATATAATATATATATATATATAATATGTTCTTTTCCATTCACGACAAATACTAGGCGACTGATTCTCAATATTCTCCATTCTCCACTCTTTCTACGATCTCATTTTGTATCTTTTTTTTTTTTTTTGTTGGTTTTCCATGTGTTTTTCATTTTTTTCTGCTTGGTGCTTTTTACACTTTTGACTAACTTATTGCATAGGTTTCGGGTTTCCATGTGCATTATATATATGTATATGTATATATTGTTGGTAAAGAATTCGCCTTAAGATTACTGTGTGTCCTTAGGCTAGAGCATTTAAAACTAAAAAACAAATTTTTCGAAACAACGCAAGCTTACGGAAACTATATATAGGCTATAGATATATCTGTATATGTACTGTTTATATTCATATTTTATAAGGTTACAAAAAAAGGTTCTATAAAACCTAAAAAATAAGGGTGCACGTGAACTGCTCTGATCTGCTGGATCCAATGGATCAGCTTTTGTTTCTCTTTTCCTATAAAATTAAAGACTTTCGACTTGGCGCAGCGCGTTAAAAGTAGGACAAAAACTAGGGATGTGCATATATATCGGGAAAAAAATCGATCATCATATGAGAAAATATCGTACATTATTTATGTATCGAAATTTTAAATATCGAAACAGTATTTCACTTTAAAATATCAACACATTTTTGATTTATCGAAATTTTAAATATCGAAACATTGTACCTAACTTTAAAATATCGATACAAAAAAAATGTATTTTATTTGTCGTTTTCACCGATAGCTTATATTAACCCGATATATAAAAGATAATATCGATTTATCGGTAAAATGTCAAATAATATATCGATCATCGCATTATATATTTTACCTTATCGATAAATCGATATTTTCTAACTTCCCTAAAACAAACTAAGCCTAAAAATGGGGTGTTCATAGGTTGCATTTATATAAAAAAAATTAAAGAAATAATATTTACAGGTGGAAATCCGATTTAGAAATTAAACTATGCCTGGTTGAGAGAGAGAGTGGGTGTGTGTGTGGTGTTGTGTTTCAGCCAACTACTTTGCCTAGTTTTTTTTTATTCTACTTGTTAGAGTTTAGGGGAGCTTCTCGAATACGTTAACGTTTACTCAACTAATTTGTTCAATTTTCCTCTTTTCTGAGCTATACATTAAATTGCCTGTTTCACTTGACTAGCAGATCATTTCCAATGGTTACATTTGGGGCGAGCAGTGGCGGTGCCAGAGATGAGAGATATATATAATAGGTTCGAAAAAGAAAATGTAAATGAAGTTTAAGCGGCGCTTGCATCCGTCTGTCTGTGGGTGAGTAGTGTGTGTGTCTGGGAGTGTGATGTTGCTCGCTATGAGACGCAACATTATTGCAACTTGTGGCTACCACTAACTATACAAAAGATCCTCAATCGGAAACTAAGAAGCTAAGAACTACAAACGAAAGCGTTCGGTATCAGTATCAGTGCATGTGATATATATATACAAGTAGCCGATCGTCTCCTTCCTATGCCAGCTGGGGCGAGCTGCTGTTGGCGGAGCGCTGCTCATCAGCTGTCGTTTCGCTCGCAAACTCCTGGAAACTCAAGCCCAGATCGTTGTTGAGCTGCACAATATTTAGCATGTCGCCGGCCTCGCGCCAAGTCTGCTGCTGCTGATGGTGATGATGATGAGGTTTTCTTACCAAGCCGCCGCCTCCGCCACTGTCGTCATCCTCCTCGCTGAGTATATTGTTCAGACAGAGGTTGAACTCATCATAATCCACAAAGTTAGCACAGTCCAGGGCCGTGGCATTGGCCAGCTCTGGCATTAGCACCTCATCCACATCGGCGGCGCTGCTGCTGCTGTGGTAGGACAGCAGGTGATCGGCTTCCTCCATGTAGCCACCGGCTGCTCGCGCCAGATTCTCGTACTCGGTCGTCGCCTCTTCACCGTCCTCGTCCTGCGCCTGGGCTAAAGGAAAGCTGCTGCTACTGCTGCTGCTGCTGCTGTGATTGATCTCCAGCTGTTGCTGCTGCAGCTGCTGCTGCTGCTGATGCGGCTGCTGTTGCTGTTCAAAGTCTTCGAAAAGCTCCAGCAGATCGTCTTCATGCGCATCGCTCGGATGGTTCAAGCCTTTAGCCAAGGCGCAAAACTCTGGTCACTTGTAGTCACGCGACGTTCTTCTTCGACGTCCCTCGATCAACATGGACTCGCCAATGACTAGGAAAGGCAGTTAAATTATAAATAAATATATTTATTTTATTATTATTATAATAGCTCACCTGCACTGCGCGTCTTCCGCCTGGCCTCGGCCACGCTCTCTATACTCCCAGCATTGGCATTCGCTCCTGCCTTGCCTGGTGTGCCTTTTGGCTCGGCTGCCGCCGCGGCTGCTGCAGCAGCTGCTGCTGCATTGCTACGACTGTAAATGATCTTATTGGCCGCTGCACTGGCACGCACACTACGCCGCGTGCCAATCTTCTCGTCCGTCGGCGAGGTGGCAGAGTTTACATTGTTGTTGGAGGCTGGGTTCGTGGTGGTGGTGCTGCTGGCCGCTGCAGCTGTGGCTCCTCGGGTGGCGTGCACTACGCTGGTACTGCCTCCGCCAATGCTGTTGTTTTGGCTGGTGACCACCACAGCTCCGCCAGGCGTTGTTGTGGGGGCTACAGAAATGGGCACACTAGGACTGCTGTTCGCATTGTGATTGCTGTTGGCGGCAGTGGGATTACCACTAGGGGCTTGAGCCTTGCCTGTTCTGGGTGTACCCGGTGGCGGAGCGGTGGCATTTAAAGCCAAGTTGTTGGGGGTTTCTAGAGGGAGAAGAGGGAAAAGGAAGATTAGTATTGATATATCAAACTCTTTTGTCATCCCTATGTGCTCTAATATTAACCCTCGCCGATCAATATGCAAAGCACCCGGCTATTATTATCAACATTCTGCTAGAGTCTAGACTTTGGCTAGACTCCCAACCCTTTAGGTCAAAGTCCAACTTACTGTGCTGCTGCTGATGTTGCTGCTGCTGCTGGGCATTGCGTCGCGTCACGTGCTTCTCTACTGCCGCTGCTGCTGCATCGCCTGCCTCCACCTGGGCCTGCTTGGAGTTGCGCACCTTGCCGGCCACCTCGATCAGTGGTTCATCCGAATCGGATGACTCAATCTCCATCTTCTTGGGCAAACCACTTGCAGCAGTGGTGTCAGCTTCTCCCACATTGTTTGTAGACACGGTGACACTGCTGCCACTACTAACTCGAGGTCGCTTCATGTTGCTATCGCCCAAGTCGGAGGCATCGTTGCTGCTGCCACACTCAGACTCCTGCCTGCGCCGCTTGTTATTGTTGTTGTTGTTGTTGTGATTAGGTGTGGGCGTTAAAACCCTTGGGCTGGCGGTGGAGGAGGAGGCGCGGGATAAGCTCTTGACAGTGCTGGGTGTGCTGGCTGCGGCTGTAGCAATGGCTGCGGTGGGTTCAGGACTAGCTTTCGGCGCATCCAAGGGACTCTCCAAACGACTACTGGCTCGCGTTCTAATCCTCGGCGTTTCCCCATCCACCTGGGCAGGTATCTCTATAGAAATGGGTTGCAGTGAAGAGGCATTGGCTTCGTTGGCTTGCGGCCTTTCCTGCAGCTTCTCCTCCTGCTTGAGCTCTCCTGCTTTTGGCTCCTCCACTTTGGGTTCCACCTTGAGCACTGGCTTATTTGCTTGTTCCTTCTTGATGGTCAATAGTGGTGGCATCTCCTCCAGCTTCACCTTCACTTCAGTGGTCTTGACCCCCGGCTGCTTGCTCTCTGTGAGCTTCTTGATGAGATCATCGTGTTCGAGTATATGGTGTTCGCCATTCAACTTGACGCTGCCTAAGCTACTTGTCTTTGTGATTGTTGTGGCTGCCACTGACGACGTGGTTACAGTGGCCAGTGTCGTCGCTGCTGGTAGCGAGTTCTCCAGGCTGTTGAGGAAGACCGACCCACTGGAGGCGCTGGCACATTCACTGGTCTCCTTTATCATCGACGACACTATGTCCTCGAGATCATCGGGAAAATCACCCTCCATCTTGGCCAGTGCCTTTTCAATCTCATCGTCTGCTTGCTGTTTTTGTTGCTGCTGCAGGGAAACCACTCCTCCAGGAGCTCCAACTGCTGTAGAGGCTACTGATACCGTCGTCGAGCTGGGCGCCATCACTGACGTTGTCACCGTCATGGCCGTCGTAGGTGTGCTTCCCTGTGATTGTGGCTGCTGCTGCTGCTGCACCAAGGTTCCCGCCTTGCTCACCTGAATGGGACTGCTGGAGGAGAGCTGATGGGGACTCTTCTCGGACAAAGCATCCATTGACTCAATGCCGCTATCCTCGCCGCCACCATTGTTGCCATGACCGGGTGTTCCGCTGCCATTGCTGGCTGGCGAGTTCCTCAGAGTGTTGGGTAGCGCTGCTGGCGAGGAGGTAGAGGTGGTTATAATGGACGCTGATGTGGAGGAGGTTGAGAGTGAAGCAGCAGCAGAGACGGGCGCCGAGGCGGAGGTGGCCACCACCACCACTGCAGCACTGTTGACCGCGGTCATGTTCGGCATAACCACTGGCAACTTTCTATCACAGATCAGCTGAGTCGTTGGCGTGGTGCTGGTCGTCGTTGGAGCTAGTGTTGCCGTTGCCACTGCTGCCTGAGCTGAGACTATGCTCGGAGCCTGCTCGCCTGTGACCTGCGGCGTCGTGACCTTGGTGATCTCCACACGCTTTAGGGTCGTCGCACTGGGCAACATGGTTACGGCCGCCGCCAGTTGTCGCTGCTGTTGCTGCTGCTGTTGTTGCTGCTGCTGTTGTTGCTGCTGCTGTTGCTGCTGTTGTTGCTGCTGCTGCTGTTGCTTCTGTAGCTGCAGCTGCTGCACGGCTGTGATGTATGGCGGCGGCTTATGGTTTTTTGTCATCGGCTTGCCACCCACAATGGGTGTAATGGTGGCCGCAGTCTTGATTGGATTCTTCATTGTCATTAGCCGATTATTGTTGTTGTTGCCGCTGTTGGCATTATTGTTATTGTTGTTGCTGTTGATGGCACTCAGGGTGATGCTGCTGGGCAAGGAGGTGGCTATCTTGCTTAGCTGCTGCTGCTGCAGGGTAGTGGTCGTCGTCGGCGTGGTTCCCGTATTGGTGGAGCCCACAATGAGCTGAGGATCGCTGAGCGATTGCTGGGCCTGGGCTTGAGCCTGAGCCTGGGCTTGAGCCTGAGCCTGCGCCTTGTGTGCCGCCTCCACAATAGCACTGATTGTCAGCCCATTTTTGCCCGCCACAATTGTGGTGGTCTTGGTGGTGGTAGCTGCTCCAGTCTGCAGGGGCATCGCTGGTGTAGCCGTCGTCTTCTGAATCAGTATAGGCAATCCATTGACATGAGGCGGAGGCGTGAGCTTGGCCTGCTTGTCTCCGCCATCTAAAAGTAGCTGCTGCGGCGGTTGCTCGCTAAAGCTACGTTTCAGCTGACGTTCATCATTGATGGTTCCCTCCTGGTTCTGTCCGCCCTTCTTGCGATCCTTGCGGGTGTTCTTCACCACCACATGGTTCTTGCCACGCAAACGGATCTGCAGGGGAGGGACACGAGGCTCGTTTAGACCTGGGACAGGCTGGGCTTGCTGCTGCTGTTGTTGGAAGTTGGCGTAGACAGGATGATGTTGCTGTGGCTGCTGGAGCGGCTGCTGTTGTTGCTGTATCTGAGTTGCTGGCTGCTGCAGTTGTTGCTGCTGCTGCATCTGAGTTTGCTGTGTCAGTTGCTGCTGCTGCTGCTGCTGTGTCTGCAACGTGAGCAGCTGCGTCTGCAGTGGCAACTGTTGCATGTGATTGTTGGCCACCAGGGGCAACTGCTGCTGCTGGTTCACTATAATCTGTCCCTCGTAACCTGCTCCAGCTGCTGCTACTGCCCCCGTCTCCACCTTGTCCAGCTTCAGCCGCAGCTTGATCTTCTCCTCCGCCGCCTTTGTCTTGGCATTGCCTTTCGCTCGCTCTCTTTTCGGCTTGGGCGTGGCAGGATCCTTGGCCTTACGCTCCTTGACACCCTGCTGTAGCTTCTCTCTTAGCAGATTCGGCTTGGCCTTCTTATTGGGCGCTCCAACAGCAATTACTGCATTGCCGCCACTCACTGATTGGGGTGAGTTCAAGCCAATCAGCGGAGAACTGTTGCTGGAACGTGGTGAATTCTCTCCAGCAATCAAGTTGCTGTGGTTCGCCTTCGACACGGGTGTCTTCCTGGCCCTGCCTGAGGCTGCCGATTTGTTAGACGCCAAAGAGTCGCGGGATCTCTCCTGGTCACTGTTGATGGCCATAGGCAGCTGCTGTGCCGAATTCGAGTCCTCTTCGGAGAAGAGATTGTTGGGCAAGAGCATGTCATTGGCCGGATTGAAGTTGAAGTTGCCCAGGCCACCGCTGGTGCGGAATGGCATCTGCGAGGTTTCCTGTTCCGCCTCGGTGTCGCTGTCATCGCTGGCCATGGGTTCCATGTCGCCGGTGTGGGGATTAATGATGAATTGCTTTTGGGGAGGCCTTTGCTGGTGTTGCAACTGCTGCTGTTGTTGGCGTTGAACCATTTGCAGCTGTTGTTGCTGCTGCTGCTGTTGTAGTTGCAGATGTCGCTGCATTTGCTGCTGGTTCTGGCGTTGCTGCAACTGAGCAGGAATTTGCAATTGCTGTCTCTGCTGTTGCATTATCATTTGTTGCTGCATTTGTGGTTGCTGCTGCTGTTGGAAAGGCATTTGCAGCATTTGTTGCTGTTGCTGCTGCTGCTGTTGTTGTTGTTCCATGGGCGCCTCTTGCAGCGTGCTCAGAGCTTCACCCACATCCATCCCCACCGCCGATAAATTGTCCTCGATCAGATCCAGGTCCAGATCCTTGGCATCCTGCAGCAGCGATTCCAGCTCGTTTTTATCTTCAAGACTGAGCGTCGAATCCAGATCACAGTTAAGAGTAGGCAGCAGGGCATCCAGGTCGTTGGTGGTCAGGGCATCCAGTACGGACAGCGATATTAGGGAGTCCACCTGACCCTGAGCCTGGCTCGTAGCCTGTTGCTGTTGCTGTCCCTGCAGTTGCTGCGTCGGCAGCGTTGGAGGCGGCAATTGTTGTTGCGCCTGTGGCTGTTGCTGCTGCAGCTGCTGCTGCTGTTGTTGTTGTTGTTGTTGACCAGGCAGGTTGACTTGCTGCTGCTGCTGCTGGAGATTGTACTGCATCTGGTAGCGCGTGAACTCCTGGAAACTGCTCTTGGTGGCCGAGTCCATGGGCTTATTGATACCGGCGAGGGGCCAGCGCGAGTTGGCTGCCGCCTGGTTGTAGTCTGGCGGTGGCGCTGCAGGTACATGGTGAGCGGTAAGCTCGCTGGACGCATTGGATCCAGGCGCAGGGGCAGGCGACATCATTTGCGGTTGCTGCTGCTGCTGTGCCATTAGCGGACTGTGCATCGAATGGTGACTGGAGGCGGGCGAGAGTGCAGGTCCCAGGGGCGATGCTCCACTCATGAACTGTTGCTGCTGCGGTGAAGCCTGCGGCATTTGCAGGCTCATCAGGCGCTGCTGCTGCTGTTGAGGATGAGGTGGCGGTGGGGCCAAAGGCAGTCCGCCAGGTCTTAGTTGCTGCTGCTGCTGTCTCAGCTGTTGCTGCTGTTGTTGCAAGGGACTCATGCCCATGTTGTTGAAGCAATCTGGTGGGGCAAAAAGCAAGAAAATTAATACAGATTCCTTGGGGAGAAAGAAAATAAACTGAGGCACTTACCAGGTGCAGGCTGAAACTGCTGCTGCTGCTGTTGCTGCTGCGGCGGCATAAATCGCAGCTGCTGCTGCCGCTGTAGTTGTTGCTGACGCAGGGCCACAGCCTGCGGAGACATTTGCTGCTGTTGCTGCTGAAAACGGTGCGGGGGAGGTGCCTGCTGCTGCTGCTGAGTATACAAATGATTGCCATTGCCGCTGGGACTGAGCATAGCCTGCTGTTGTTGCTGCTGCTGCATACTCCGCATCACAACGGGCGGCGGGCAAGGAGTAGCCGACGCCCCTTGAGGCGTTGTTGGGGAGGAAGGCACCACCGGACTCAGCACATCGCCCATGAGGAAATCGCTTGGGGTCGCCGGACCAGAAGAGCGCATCGGAGAGTTCATCAACTGCGCTCCACTCGGACTCATGCCGATCAGCGGCGACTGCTGCTGCTGCGGAGACTTGAGCTGGTTCGGATTCGACATGGCATTGCCGTCGTTCTGCAGAAGATTCACCAGCAGCGGCGACGATATGGCAATGTTATTGCTGCCCGTCGACGTGGCCGTGGGCAGCGGATGCGGCTGATGCTGATGGGGTTGCTGCGTATGCGCAAGTTGATGCTGATGCGGATGGGGATGATGGGGCAGCGGGCTGGAGACGGGAACAATCGCAGGCTTGGCACTTGCGCCCGCTATGGCAATAGATGAACTACCGCTGGCAGCTGTGGTACTAGCAGCGGCCACCGTGGCAACTCCCAATCCCGGATATGGCGGCGGTGGTGGCTGGATGAACTGAGATTTGCTGCCGGGCGGCGTCGTCGCCACCGTCGTTGTCGTTGGCGTCGTGGGTGTTAATTCGCCATTCTGTGACGTCTGCGGTGGATTCTTCAGCACCTTCAGCGTCACGTTGGGCGGCGGTGGCGGACCCAGGCCGCCCGCCTCCCGACCTTGCAGCACTCGCGCCTGCCGCATGCTCTCGAAGGGAAAGTCTCGCGGCACTCCCGCCGTTCCAGAGGGCGAGGGCAGCAGCAGCGGCACCTTGCCCTCCATCGGGCACACCGTATTGGGGGACTTGAACACCGGCGGCGTTTGCTGAGGTCCCGGAACCTGCTGCTGCTGCTGAAGCTGGAGCTGCTGCTGTTGTTGTGGAGGCATCTTCTGCAGAGCCGCTCTCCTTTGCTGGAGTGAGATTGCATCGCTGGAAACATTCTGCGGCAGTTGCACAATCCGCTGCTGCTGCTGCTGTTGTTGCATGTAGGCGGAGGCCGCCTTGCTGGTGCTGGGGCCATCGAAACCCGGGGCCAGAGCCACCAGACTACTCTTGTTGCCGGAAGACGAGCCAGCCGCCTCAAGTGTCTCGTTTACATTATCTGCGGGCAGAGTAAGGGGACGGTTATAGGGGAGTTAAGGAGAATATCATAGAGAACTCACCCTTGGTTATCTTAATATCTTGTCCTCCAACTTTCAAAGTTATCACAGAATCGCCCTCGAACTGCACGGACTGAATGTTGAGGGCGCGCAGCTCGGGATTGCCCTCGGCGGCCAGTTGGCGCAGCCGTTGCGCTGCATCCCAGGGGAGCGACACCAATATCCGCACCAGTGACGGTTCAAGCTGCTGCAATGGTCCGAAATCGTTGGTCATTTCGCAATTTTACGGCATTTAATTAACATTTAAGGAGCCCGCAGGAAGAGGAAGAAAAGACGGGCCAGTGAAATTGGCTAGAGATGGCATACATTTTATCGATATATCGAAACTAGCCACAGCTGCTGCAGCCCTGGCGTACACACACACAAACGCACCGAGTCGTGTATTGGAAAGCACATTGCTACAGCCAAACAACGTATTTAATATTATTAAAAACATTCCCAATGTAAGCTAGAAGATATAAGCTTTGCCCGCTTTATTGGTTTTGCCTTGCTTTTAATCCAATTTCCTTGTTTTGGGCAGCTGCCTCTGGGCTCTGTTGCGTGCGTGAGGGAGATGGCTATAGGAGACTCATTGGAAATTCCAACAACAATTTGTTCAACAACAGGCAATAATCTATGCGTTCAGCTTGAAGCAGCCCAAAATTAAGTAACCATAGCGCTTTTCAGCTGACTGCATTTCCACGCGCGGCAAGTGGATAGGGTGAGGGGGGGTTGGGGGTGCCCACAGGTTGCATTTTCACATGCGTTCGTGCGTTTTCCTACGTCTTTTTTTGTTATCGATACCCCGACGTCGTCGCCATTTTTCTTCTTGGCCTCTTGGAAGGGTGTGCGAGAGTGTGTGTGTGTGTGACTGTGTGGCGAGAGAGTGTCTGTGTGTTTGTGTGAGTGTGGCAGAGGGAAAAGGTAACCAAAATACTTGCCCAGTATTAAGGCGGGGGGTAACAAAGGGGCGGGCCGATTAATAAAATCACAAAAATGGAACAAAAAGAGGAACACACACATGATGAATGCATGCATGTTTGAAATGGGTAACTGATGCTGTTTTTGTTGCCCGTGTTGTGGTTTTTGGTGGGAGAGAGATTGCGTGGGTGACGCAAGTGTTCAATGGGCGACCGCGACCCTTCCTCCCCCCGCCGCAACCAAACTCAGCACACTCCAAGCCCCCCACCCCACTCCCACGCTCAGTGGATGGGATGTGAAGTGCAATAATCGCAGATCAGCTGTTCGGCAGAAAACGTCGAGAAAGGGCAAGAAAAGGGCCTCCGAGAAATGCGCGACTTAACAACTAACTCACCTGTTTAAGTGGCATATCATCACACGACAATCGCACGCGTCGTAGATTTAATTGGTAGAACGCTGCTCAATTCTCGCATTTAGCTTTTATGTCCCCGCCGCTCGGGGAAATCGGTGGCAGATGATTCAGGTGGCGTCCTTTGCGTTTAAACAATTGCATGTTTGCATTACACACGAGATTTTTTGTATTTTTCGGGAATGGAATTGTTTTCGATCCGATCCGCCGATTTGGGATCCACCGTACATGTATATGTATGTGCAGCTGGGCTCACTCGCTAGTTTTTAACCTCTGCGACTTTGTTTTTGGGCATTTTCCACCGCTGCCACTTTTTTCTTTTTCCTTTTTTACTTTTTTTTTTTTAGTAGTAGCCTCACTAACACACTTGCACACACTGGCACACACCACACACACACAGTGACAACGTGCGGGGCGCGGGCAGGGCTCCGCTGCTGCTTTGCTTATTCGGATACGGATTTTCCTGCGTCACTTTTCAGGCGCTCTTGTTGCCACAAATCGCGCTTCCCCGCTGGCTGTACTATGTTCAGGGGCTAATTAATAGGGCTCTCGAACTTATTGCGCCCTCACTGTTCTCCATTTCACGCACGGCAGCCCAATAATATTGCTTTTCACAGGCGCTCGAAAATTTTTCTCGCATTTGGGCAGCCAATTCGGGGCATAATTTCACACGGTTCGCGTGCGCTGAAACACTCGGTGGACGCACTCGGATGCGGCGGAAGGTTCGCGGTAGATTTTCAGCCTATTGCTGTCGCTGGGGCGATGTGTTTTTGCTGTTTATTTTGTACAAAAAACTTCGAAATTCCACGAACAATTACAATAACAACCGCCATTTGCATTCAGTGGTAGCCATTTTTATTTTCCAGCCGGTGTTGCCAATCGGTCGCGTGCGGTAATTTACTAAATTTCCCCGAATTCTGTGTTTCCAGGGCTGCACAATAAAGGGTGTTGATCAGCACTGGCTTTTATCGTGACTTCTGGCAGCGCTAGTTCATAAGGGTTCTAAAGAGATTCATAGGTCAGTCATTTGCGACTTTCAGAGCTTTTTGTTTTAAATATCATGCTTGCTAAAATTTATCGTTAAAATCTAGAGACATATGCATTAAAACGTGAAAAGAGCGATATGGCAGCGCCAACGACATGCATTCAGTGTGGCCAGCTGCTGGGGAAATGGCAACGCTAGACTAAAATATCGATAAAAGTATCCGCAGAATTTGCAATTTTTTTTAGGAGAAAAGCAAAAATTGCATCTGGCAACACTCATCTCTGAGGCACTGAATATTTTCTGCAAATGTGAGTACATAACTTTACCCTTTTAAACAATTTGCAGACTATTTTGGAGTAACACAAGTACTTATTACATTTTAAAAACAGCCCCTAGCGACAGCTGATTATCGCGGGCGACTGTCCTACCCTTTAACCCTGTTCTAAGCCAACCCCCTTCGAGCACCTTACGTAACTGGTTAAATTCTCATTTAATTCCTTCGATTTTTCCCACAGCAGCGACATGGCCAATCCTCCAGCAACCTCCAGCAGCGCCGGACCCGTGCTCCGCGGCCTCCACAATGCCTCCATCAAGCGCAACCTGGCAATCTCCCTTGGCTTGACCGCCATCGTGACCGTCGCCTTCAAGCTGTTCGTCAACGACCCCAAGAAGGCCGCCTATGCCGACTTCTACTCGTAAATATTCTTGGCTAATGATCTAAAGATCTTTTATTAATGGTCTGCCTTGCAGGAAGTACGATGCCAACAAGTCCTTTGAGCGCATGAAGGCCGCCGGTCGTTTCCAGTCCTGTTAGGAACCCCAAGCACCATGTAGTCTAAGTCAAAAGATGTTGCTAGAGCAAGTGTTACGCTTCTGTATTGAAAACTAAATAGATTTCAGTCTACGTATGTGCACGAAGCTGTTTTAATGTTGGCTATAAAGGCTTCCAGTTGCAGGGGAGTCCTCGGTGCAGGTTTTAAGCAGGTCGAAGCTGGTGAGGATTCTGTTGTGTGTTTCTCTAAACGTTCAATTAAAAGGCTTCTGTAATAGATACTTAACACTGAAAAGAATATATCAATTTAAAATGAGCCTAAGATTACTTTTTGATGACAGAAATTTGTACCAAAGAAAATGTAAATGTTACAAGTCATTAATTTCAATATGAATCTATATTTCGATCATTTAATAATTTCCTTTTTAATTTCAAGGCCTTCCTGGTGTATTATATCTATCAAAAAATTTAAATTTATTATAAATTTCTTTATTTTTTACTCGATATTTACAAACTTATAGAAATAATGCACATAACAAACACAAAACTGAGCCACACAAATCATCAATTTTATATAGATGATTGCTTGGTGTCGGTAAACACATCTAAAACCTAATGGCAAAGTCCTTGTAGTCCAGTCGGCTGAGGTTGCCTTGGTTCCGGAGTTCGCAGCGCTCGATTTGGCAGCCGGGTGAGCCTTCGCTGGACAGCCAGGTGATCCTGCGGGAGGAATATATTAAAGTAATAGCTCTAAGTTCACTGCAGTACCCACATTTTGTCCACCTCCTCCTTGGGACCCTGCATTTTGCCGACAATGGTGCCCTGCTTGCTGTTCTTTACCCAGCCCGTGATGCCCGCCTTGGTGCAGCGATCCCGGGTGTCTTTCGTGAGATTCAGGCCTGGCGGATCATCAGAGAATAATATATGCTCATATTATATTATTTAGTCTAGCGAAAGTGGAATGGGGCGTGAAACCGAGTCAAGGCCAAGTGGGGGGACCCAAAGTAACCAGCTAGCTACTGTGGGTTATATTTTTAGCTTTTCTGCACTTGTTGCCTTGGGTTCTGACCCCAGGATCCTTGATCCTCAAACTGTTGGCACCTTGCACATGGCCATAGACCTCAAACTCCAGCGTAACCAGCAGCCGGATGTCAGGAATGCCCATTTCGATTACCAAATGTTAACTTTTGGTTATGTAAATTTTACTGAGACTTTGAGTCGTTTTTTAGTCTAGCTTTTTAACACTTTTATTTTGATTTAAGCTTATGCAGAGAAGGTTTAATTTGATGTGCACACACTGGAATCCTTATTTAATTTTAAACAATTTTTTCAAGCGGAAAATTTGTGGCGCTCGCGATTTTGATATTCAGCAAACCGTCGCAAAATTCAAACTAAAATGCCAAGTTCCTACAAATTGGCGCTCCGCTAGCATATCAATTGCTTTCTATTTTGCGTTTTCGATTTGTATTTGCGTATTTATTTTAGCCGTCCTATGCATTCTGTCTCTTGCTTTTAGTTGTTGCCACGGCTTCTCTTGTTTTTGTTGTTATTTGTTTAAAATAAAAATAAAGAAAGGAAGGAATGAGATACGAATCTTTTTGGGGGTTTTGAGTAGCCTTTTGGTAAATGCACTATATGGGGTTTATTGAGGAAAGTTGGGATCGAAAGGAAAAATCTAAACGATCTAAAAAATATTGAATATATCGTAAACATCTATATACAAAAATTTTAAATATTGCACTTAATGTTAACCCAGCTATTTCATATATAACTTATTTATTTTCTTCTTCAGTTATTTTGGTACGGTTTAAAAAACCGAATTTTAATTTAAAGAAAATTTATCACAGTAACAAAATATAGGATATCGAATCTCTTTTGGGTTTTACAATTAGAAAAGTATTTTGATAAGATCCCGGTTAGTTTCTAAAGGGTTTAAATATATATAAAATAAATATTATTATATTATACATATTCTAAATCTTTATAAATGAAATATACCCTCTTGAAGATCGCTTTCTCTACTATTATTTATTTCTTTCCCAAGTGCGCTGTCGTCTCATGCCAGACATGCCCTACAGGTGGCTTTTATCTTTGTACTATATATTCTGCTCAATATATTGCTCAATTTAGCCACAAATTTGGCATTTTCTTTGCCTTCTAGAAAATGTACTGACCCAGAACAATGCAGAGACTTTGTTTCTGCCCCCTTGATTTCGCTTTCGCTATATAAAAATCACCTTTTTGTGCGATGCCAGGAATGACAAGTTCACAGCAGGCGTATTCGTTGGGCCATGAGACTTTTATAAGGCGAGACGACACTAAGTATATTATTATCTGATTTGTATATTTTTCAATTCGATGAAAGGGAAATTTAAATTTTCAATGCAAAAAATGTCTACTATTCACGAGTGTTGTCCCTGACTAGGTATTTATCCTTTGCTATTCAGATAAGATAGATCAAAATAGGCAAAGCGGAAAACCAGAAGATAAATATATATATATAAAATAAATATAATCACTTCCCATTTATCTTAAAAAACCCCTAGTTAAAATAAGATTTTATAGTATTTACAATCTTTTATTTATATATATATTCTTGTGATATATGAAAATATCAATGTACAATGTTTATACTCGTATTGTTTATTAACTTAACTAGCTGTGAGTGTGTGGGGTGAGTGAGCCTTCGTCACCAGGTTAAAATTTTTGATACGTAAACCTGTTGCGGAAAATGCAAATATTATTCTTAAGGTCTAGGATCGTTCTGTACAGGTCTAGATATTATGGAACTACTACACCGGGAGACTACGGGGATAATAACTAAACATCGGACTCTTAAGTAAGCTCGGTAAGATTAGGCTTAGGCGATTATAACTAGGTTAACATCTAGACATAGAAACGATTTAAAGGGTGCCCCACAAGATCACTAAACGATCTGCACGGCGGAATGTGGCCTCTCGATGAGGCTGCTCTGCGCCTCCTTGTCCTTCTCCGCAAGCCGGCCCAGCGAGGCGTGCTCTGGCTTTAGATAATAGTGCGGCGGTGGCGGAGACTTCGAGGACTCCGCGGAATGGGCAGTCTTCTTCCGGCGTTCGCGGAGGAAGTGCAGGCGCACATAATTGATGGGTATATCGACGCTCTCGGCGCCTACACCCTCGCCATCGATGAATACTCCGCGCACCAGGATGGAGTTGGAGCACTTGATGGCAGCCAGCAGCAGGAAGGGAATAAGGTGTGTCAGCCAGAAGCTCAAGAGCTTGTTTTCTGTGAAAATGAAAACAGGAAAACATTAAAATTTTAGAAATTAAATCAAGAGAAATTGTGGCAAAAAAACCCCTTTTAATCCTCACCTGGATACAGATACACATCCAGCAGATTCCAGATGCCGCGCCAGGCATTCACCGCCCCAAAGAATGTCATCAGATAATAAATGTCGCAAATTATCAGCTTGAAGATGCCGCTAATCCGACGGCACACGTACCGCATCAACGGATGAATCAGGAAGGTGACAGCCACCGTGAGATAGCCAATCATCTGTAAATAATTTTCAGCTTAAGATACTTTTCCAGGAGATAATAAACCAGTACTTACCAGCGAACCCCAAGCGGACTTGGCCTTATCCCGGGGAAACAAGAGCAAGTCAAAGATGCCCCAGACACCGCGCCAGGCGATGACCACCAGGCTGCCAATGACAAAGACCGAGAAGAGAGTGTCCAACACATACAGGCCAGGTTGATGAAAACCCTGGAGAGGAATGGGAATTAATTGAATTTCAGGATTAAAATTAATTCAAGAAAATTGTAGACTGCAACTCACGGGTATCTTGAACATGGTGTCCACCTCGAAGTAATCGCTCTTGTGATCCATGGTCACGGTATAGGGGGCTGCGCCCAGGTTCCTCAGAGTCCTTGTGGCCACTAAGAAGATCAGGGCGATGGCCGTGACCACAGAGACTATGATGAGGGAATCCACGCTGGTCAGCCAGTCGCAGAGTAGCCAGGCACCGCGCCACATATTAACGCAGACAATTCCAAAAATGGCGGTATATATCCGCGACACCGTATAGTAGGTGAGGCGCCGCCTATCCGGATGGATGTGCTCTTTGAAAAAGTTCTGCGTTATGGTGAACACAAAGTGTCCCAGGCCGCCAATTAGGAAGCTGGCCATCGCAGACAGAGGCAGGCTGTTGGGAAAGAGATACACGCCCATCAGCTCCCAAGTGCCGCGCCAGTAGGCGATCACGCAGGGTGCCACCACCAGACAGGAGAGCATCATGTCCAGGATCTCGAGCAGGAGTTCATGGAGATCCCTTCGCGGAGTCTCCGCTTCCAGGCGCTTGTTGCAGGCAGGTGAGTGTGTGTGCTGGGGCAGGTGTGTGCTTGTGGGATGCGTTCCAGGATGTGCTGGATGTCCGGCAAGATGCAGGTGATGATGCTGCAGGAGCTGCTGATCCGTTGCCTGGCCATGGCAATGAGATTTCTGCCCCTGCCGGCTGCTCACTATGATTGGCGTGGGCCCCATTGGCGTGCCCTTGTCCGTGGCCAACATGTCTCTCTGTATGTCTGAGTTTGTGTTTGATCTAGGGTCGGGATCCGTCAATGGGTTCCCCTCTTAATTTCGCCTAATTACTGGCAATTGGCACTCCGGATATTTTTAGGCTGGGACGACCTGGGCGCTCCTGCTCACTGCTGCGGTCGGTGGCGGCTTTAGAACTGGCGGCGGCTGTGGTCAGGTAGCTGGGTGCATTCCGTAACCGGAGAGAGAGCACATACACGGGTCCTCTCCGGAACCGTCACCGCTGCATCGCCGCTGCGGTGATAATAATCTGGCGCTGATAATTAAACCGTCTATCTGGGGTCTTCTCCGCTCCTCCGCCTGGCCTCAGTTGCATAATCCGCATCCACTGTCACAAGTACAACCACATCCACGTCTGCGTCCACGCCATTTGCCGTCTGGAAGGGGATAAGTATAGGTATGGTATAAATAAATGCAAAGAACCATTAGGAGCTTAAGCTGCTAAGCCCGTCTCCTTATCACATTTTTGCACTGACTTCAATTCCGGTTATCAATCTTTGCTCTGCGACAAGTCAACAAAAAATGAATCCTAATAAATGTTTTATAGTTTATTTTTAAGTTTTTATTCTTTATAGTTTATAGTTTGTGGCAGCTGGCTGAAAAAGCGGCTTATCGCCATCTTAGTAACAGACTGACTGTTTCCAGTAAGATCTGGACCTTGGGAACTGTACTTGCGTTTTTAGTAGTAATATTAAGGCAGGCTTAGTATAAAGAATTAAGTGATAACTTGTCTGTCATCAGTCATCTGTTGCTGATTAATTTAATCTTTTGTTTTATACAACTAGGGTCTTCCTTTATAGTATTCAATATTAATTCAGGGTTTATAGGAAGTCCCAGATTAAAGAGTCTTCGAGTTAGTTACTTGATTATCAAGCGTTCAATAGACTTCAGTCAAAGTATTGATAAGTAAATAATAACAAGATTATAAATATTGTTAAATAAATATCTAAACCTTATCCCATTGAAGAATATTTTGTAAATTAAATGTAAAAATTCAACAGAAATGGGTTGAAAATCGTTATTACTGAAGAAGAAAATAATGAACCAGACATATCATGGATGGAAATCAATATAAAGATATAAAAAATGTAGTTTAAAAAGTAAAGATAAGTTAAGCGAAAATTGTCAGATATTATTTTGAATAATGTCAATGTTATTCAATATTTTAAATCGCGATATTTATAGTCATTATGTTTACTATTATTAAAAATTGGAAATGCTGAATGCAGGAAAGATAACGACTCGTGATTTTAAGACAAATGACCAAATCCCATAAAGAGCACAAGAACTCGTCAAGTGTCAACTGATTTGGCTTAAACTACAACATACCCAAGCCAGTTATAATATAATTTTTATACCAGTTATATTCTTTTAATACCATTCAATTAAGATATTAAAGCTTCAAAGATTTCACAACACAAGGTGCCGAAAATTCGGGGAACTTTCCTCGCATGTGACTCATTAAAGCATTCCCTTAAGCAAATATTTAAGCATTCATGGCAATCTCAACAATGGCAGGCCTGGGAATCCTTTATTGTCTTCAAATTGGATGCTATAAAAACACAAAGAACAAAGAATCTTAAACCAGATGTCCCACATTTTTATGGAGAGATCACCTGAGAAAGAGAGAGAGTCACACGGGACTCTTTTACTGATAGCTCAACGTCAACGTGACAATTGTGCGTTGAGTGGCCCGACACTCGACACTTAAGTCCCCTTCGGGCTTATCTCAAGTGACTTAATAGATCCAATTGAAGAGCCCACGAGAGGCACAAGTCCAGGAGCAGCTTTGATTAAACGTAACCAGTGAAAACAAAAAGCGAAAGTGATCCGCCGACAGTGGCAGTGCCCATCGAAAGTGCCGGAGTCTTGAACTTGCGGGCCACTTGAACTTGTCACTTAAGGGGCCAGGTCAGGGGCACACTCGTGTCCAAGTGGAACGAAGGGATTCCGGATACGGATTTGGATTTGAATTACAGGGAGGCCAGGGAATAAGGCAATGTCATAATAGTCAGTAGACAGTATGAGTGTTTCGTTTTTTTTAGCTTAAAAATAGCCTTTACTCTTAAGTGAATTGGTGGGGGTTTTAATTTAATTTAATTGTTGTCATTAATTGAAGAGACATTTAAGGAAATTGTAGGTATCTATGTTTGGGGTTTAAGGTTCTACGTAATTTTTATTCCATAAATTAATCTTGAATTAGGAAATATAGATAGTTAAACCAGATAATATAATATTGTAAAATAATAGTGTAAAGTATAAAATATATTTCCTAAAAATGGTATCATTCAGGGATTTATACGTTGAAATTCAATTAAAAAAAAATTGCTAAGCTTATATTTTAATTGAATTTCAAAGAACAAATCTCTAAATCTCTCTAAAAAAATCTCTTAAGTGTGAGGCTTTGCACTCTTTTTCTAAAATTTAAATGCTGGAATAATTAATTCAGCTGTTACTCATATTTATACATTTCTCGTAAGTCTCTCAATTATAAACTGGCGGTGTCTAATTAGTCGTCGCCCCCATAAAATTAGTGCAGGATGTTTGTGATTTTCGCGTTTTGCTTGCTTGCTTGTCTCTGCGATGGCCAACGCGGCGTATGCGCGATAATTAAACACACAGAACTTGCGCAAGGTCCAAGAGCGGGTACAGGGATGGGGACTCTTTTTTTTGCCGTTTCCCCTTAGATTGCTGTTTGGGTCAAGCGCATTCGCATTTAAAACCGAGTGCTGGATTTGCGGGCTAAATGGACAGCCCGCTGGGCGCAGCAAGACTTCCTCGTTTTGGGGGATTTCGTTGATGCAGCAATCTAAATTGAGATCAGAGGCGGAGAACAGAGAGGCGAACAGAGAGGGATCCCTACAGAATTCAAGTTCAAACTCCCCAAGTGGGCCAAGTGACTGCGTTCCAATGATGCTGGATGCAAAATGCAAATGCTGCATGCCCCATTTCGCTGCCACATTGTACTCCAATTATGTCGGCTAATTGACAAAGAACGGGTGACAATTCAAATGCCAAATTGGACCACTGTGCGACTCTCTCCCAGTTCTCAGAGCTCGGTTCTCAATTTTTTCGCAAGGTTCTCGACAAAGTTCCTCCCGCGAGAGTTACGACTTCTGGGCGGCCGCCGTCAGCTAATTAGATTTGCCAACGCATCTGTATCTGTCTCTGTATCTGTATCTCTGAGCAAAGATAGATAGCTGGCTGGATAAGGCCAAACATAAAAGTACCTTCCCCTCTGGCTCACTTTATGATCGTTTATGATCGGCTTGTGATTGCTAATTTGCCTTTGACTGATTTGAGAGCGTTTCTAGGCGCGATAATGGCTAGTGTATATCTCTTTACAGCTCGCCTATTGTTCAATATTTACTTGGTTGATTACCAGCCTTTAAGTGCTCGTTTTTTTGTTCGCTGTCATTGTCAAGTTGAATAATCGGTCGATCTAATTTATAAATACCTATAAATTTATAAATATATACGGGAAAACCTTTCGGCTGTATTGATCTTCTAGCACTTTATGATTGTAACACTTAGGATCTGAATGGGGAGTTCTTAGAAACTGCGGCAACTGGATAGTTAAAGTTAACAATGAGGAGGATTTAGCTTTGGAAATATTCAAATTAATTATAAATGGTTCTACATAAATCTGTTGTTAAATATTTGGTTTTAAGTTAACTTTTATTAATAAGATAACAAGCTTTACACGAAAACCTTAAATGTAAATTTGGCGACAGAGCCTTGAAAATACTTTTCTATATTTAAGAGAAATCACAATAAACTTAGCAACGAACCATAAAATCAAGGAACCATAAATACAAATTTTAACGGTTAATTTTTCTATTTTTCTCAAATTATAGCGTTTTTTTCTGATTGGCTTCGCTTAGTTCTTAGTTCATTCTTAATATAAGGGCGAATTCTACTTGTTTTGCTGGTCAATTTTGTATAAAAATCATGGAGATTGTGTTGCAAAAAATCTCACATGTGCGCACATATAATTCCCAACTGGTTCTATCATTCCCGGAATGAAGTCATAGGTATAGACAGTGGCGAGTGTGTGTAAATGTTTGTGCTATTATGTGCTATAAGAGGTATTAAATGATTCTAAATATATGTTATTACAGAGTTACTTATCCTAAACGAAACTCAATTTCTTCTAAAGTCAAAAAAATAAATATCCTTGTATAAATTACCTTTAAATTAAAAAAATCTAGAAAATCTTTCTAAATATAATAAGCTAAAGCTAATATAGCTTATATTAGCTTAAAAGGAAAACTAAATTTTTTCATTTGGCCAAGAAAAACTTAAGTGAAATCATGTTGCTCCCAAGTGCCAAATAAGAATGAAGCCATAGTCGTTTAAATTAAAATTTTTAATATTTAAAAACATTAAAAGCAGCTCTTGGTGTTTATTTATCAGCCGGAGAAGCTGAACTTTAGACTTTAATAAAACAAAATAATCTATAAATATCCACATAGCTCTAAATATAGAAACACAAGCACACGTCCCTATTTAACTACAACCTATTCATAAACGAAAATCTGTCACATTTCCCATAATAACTAAAATATATTTTTACTGCCAGTAAAATCAAATTAAACACTCTTATATTTTCCCAACAATCGCGCCACATTTCCCAATTGCTTCGATTAGATAGAGTCGCCGAATCGAATAATCGCCTTATCAGTTATCGATTTACAAAAATATATTACAAAATTGTATTTTGAGTGAGCGGAAAATGCGTGCAGGCCAGAGAGATAAACACAACAAACACACACACATAACACTCGCACACACCAAGCTGGCACACACAGGCGACACGACAGCGATGGACTGTAATAAATTTATGCAAAAACAAAAACATGGGATTACCGTTTAAAATTAGCAGAGCTTGCTGCCGCCGTTGTTGTTGTTATTTTCTTGTATTTTATTTATTATTATTATTTATGTTTTTTTTTGTTTCTCCTGCTGGGTGCGTGAGTCGCGAGCTAAAAAGCTCGGTTTTATTTTTTTTACTTCTACAACAAACACGCAAACACACACCGGAAATGATTGGGTTTTATCGAATTGCTTCGATTACAAATGGCTTTTAATTTTCGATATTCGATTTCTGGTTCGTTCGATTGGCTTCGATTGCGAGACCGTTAGACGTAGACGTCGGCCGTAGATGTTTGATGCCCGAATGCGCGTAGCCGACTTCTGGCGCTACTATATATATGCCTATACTCGTAGGAATTGGCTAAGCTCGGTCACACAAACACACACTCACACCTTCTTGGAGGGGCGCACAATCTAGTTTATTTGCACGGTTGTTTGAACTCGGCGGTCCGACGAACTGACTGAACTGTGTTTTGTGTTTGCCCGCCGTTATATTTCGTTCTGATCACGATCACCTCGTCGTCAGTCGCCGGTGGCTGCAGAATCTGAACTGGAAGCCCGGGGAACCGAACTAAATCTGCCTCGGATTTGGGTCTACGGATCGGACAGATGAGCGAGAACTGAGCCCCCGAAAAAAGCCCCATAGCTTTGGTTTATCACATCCCTTGGAGGGTCCCCCGAGCCGTCGAGTCTAAGTCCGAGCTTGAGCTTGGCATAAAATACCGCCTAGCATCGATAGCGATATCTTTTCTATAGATTTTCAAAATTTTCCCATGAAAATGTCTTTGTTTCTTTGGTATTTTCCAACAGTTGTGAAACTGAAAACTATTTTCTATTTATAATTGTGCTGGAAAATATTTTAAAATTGTCAGACCTAGTAAGAGCTTTCCCTCAGCGATATTTCGATATATTGTATGTAAGCTTTTCTTTATTTTAGAAGGTGACAGCTCTTTTTCCTCTGTTTAAAACCACCGTATGTAAATCTTTTTAATTCATCAACATTTCTAAAATAATTTAAATGCATAACATTCCTTAAAAAAATTATATAAAATCCACAAACATTTTTATTCCGTTTTAAAAAAAAGTTTGACTTTATAATAAGCCATTGATTGAGGTTGTTTTCTATCAGGTGTTCCCTGATTTGTTATAAATTAATTTGAAAGTGATACATTTGCGTCAACAATATTATAAATGCAATATTACAAATTATACAATAAAACGTCACAAAATCAATAGAATTAAATTAATAAATAATTTATTCAGTGTGAGAAATAGTTCAGAGTGTCTGGAAAATGCTTTAAAAATCCAATTTGCGCATCAATATTGGGGAAATCTCATGAAAAAATCATCATTCGACTTTATTTTCCAATCAGTTTATAATTGCTTTCGGGCCTCTCGTAACCAATTCGAATGCGAACTTAAAATTGAAATAATTTCGTACTTAATAAAGTCATAAAAAAACGTTGCAAGTGCAAATCTATAAATATTCAATTACGCCTGGGAACTGGAAAGCTTACTCTAAATCATGGAGAGTTCATACTTTCCCTTCCCGCATCGAACTCTTAATTTATGCGCGAATAATTTTAGATAAGAAAAATTAAATATTAAGATTTCCTTGTTAAGAAATAAATTCAATAAGCAACGTTTTGACAGTTGGAAGATTTATCATGCGATTGAAATGAGTTTCCCACTCGGTAAATAAAATACAAATAATCCTCAATCTGTGAGCGTGATTAGATTTCCACGGATGTTTATGGGTCTATCGTGATTTTCTTTGTGTGATTATCACAGATCAGGCGTCACAGATATATATTTTCTTAATGCTAATGGCTATTTATGGTTAGACCTTGAAAATGCCTTTGATAGAGCAATTGTTTTGCCAAAAAATAAGTTGAAGTGCCTGCTGTCTGGGCTCAAATGGTTATCAAATGATTTTATCAGTGGGAAAATTGGCCATAAGTTTGTCACAAGTTTGAGGCAATTAATAATTCCATTCATAAAATAATATTCAAATTATTTACAAATAATTATTAGTAAACATCTGTATATATGAATAATGTATTCATTTTATTAGCCTTATGGAAATTTTTATATAAACTTTATGGTTATTCTTTGAATATCAAGCACTCAATTATTATTTACATTTATGGCACCATCAATTATCAATTTTATTGGGCAAAAAAAAAAAACAGAATCCTAAGATATGTTTACACAAAAGTAGCTCTATAAAAAAGTAGCTCTATACAAGAACTTGATTATAAAATAAACAAAACTACATCACAGTTCACACATGTCTTGGAAAATAACCACTATTAAATATAATCTTTTAATTCCGACAAGAAATTGCCCAATTGCAGGTATATCTTACCTATGTCCAGATAGCCACTATCAAATTGGTAATATAATTGAGAAACTTTGAGAGCCTACTGATACGTTTTTAAAGCCGGTCGCTATATTACTAACCTACCACAAAAATCAACTAGATCCAACTAGAGACATAGTTCGCAGAAATTCGATTTGCTTTTTATTTTGTATATTTATATTTTTCATCCGAGATATTCCAATGTCAACGGAGCCAGGTCAGAGCTATGCAAATGACCTGGGTCTAATATCACCGAAAAATCACCGAGTCACTGGATTATTTATTAATTTTATTAATTAGTCCAAGCAATATTTACATACGTCTCTCTTGAATACGTCTCCGTTTCGAACTCGTGTTGATCACAAACTGAACTGATTCGTTGCCAAATATTTGGACCTTTCGTCAGGCGTCCAACTCGGCGGCACAGCAGCGTTATCGCCGCCAAAACTGATAAGGCCCGATCCGAAAGGAAGGTATTATTATGGGTCCATTCCACTCCCGCGAGCTGTTTGACTAGCCTCTATTTCACTTGGGCAGTTTGACGATTAGAAATTAATGTAAATATCGCTTGGAAGCCGTCTTTTCTTGCGTAGTTTTCCGCCATAATCGCAGAATCGATCCGATTCCCGTTCTCAGCCATAATGTCAAATGGCAGAATAGGCTGCTATCGGGGAGGGCATTGCGAAAACACAGACATAGAGGCCAATCAGGCGGCGTTGCCGGGTCGTAAAGATCGAACAATGACTGGCCCATCGGCTCTACGATGCTACGATTCTTTGATTGTTTCGATTCTACGATGGGGTTTCGCCTTTTCAAGCGTTTTAAAACGCGCGAAAGTCGCGTGCAAGTCGCTAGCGTTTTTTGCGCGTCTTTTGTCGCCTTACATTTTTGTTTAATAATTCAATTCTTTTCTTATAATTAGGACCTACATATATTAATAGTTTATAATAATAAACATTTTTATTATGTTTATATATATATTTATATTTTTTGTATATTTATATAAATATAAAATATTTTTGATTCCCCAAAAAGCTTGAAATGCTATCAAATATAACTTTTTTATTTACAATTTTTACCTATAATAGGGATTGTTATTATTAGTTTAACATCTTAGAAGTTCTATCGTTTTTTTTGCTTTACATTTGTTTTCTGAATTATAGTTTAGTTATATTTTCCTAAATTAAAACGTTGATCGACATTTGAAAAATTCGCAACAAATTTATAATCTTTTCTTTTTGGATTAGATATGCCCTTTACATTTTATAAGTAAACACAGCGAATGTTTGTACAATATTGTAATATATATTACAGACAAAAGAACGCTATAAAATAAATTGTAATCAAACAGAATGAAATCCTATAAGTAAGCTACAAAATATTTAATGAAGAGGCAATAAGTATGCTGTATAAATAAATAAGAAGGCCACAAAATGTGAGTTCTGTGTAAAAAAACCAACTGCAAAGTATTTATCAATAAATATTATGGTTAAATACTCGTTTAAAATCATTTTTATAAATTCTAAATTATTTAAAAACAATTTTAAACTTAGAGATTGATATTGTTTGTTTTATCTTCAACTAATAAAATACAACGAACCTTTTTTTATATAAAATCTTAATTTATTGTGTCGATTTCTAAAAACTACAAGTAATATTGTTTACTAATTCTCAGCTCTGGCGGTCTTGTGTTTCTTGTCCAGACTTTCCTTGAACATCTCCACCAACTTAAACTTCTGGATCTTGCCGGAGGTGGTCTTGGGGAATGCTTCGACCGTAAACACATATCTAGGAATCTTGAAGTGGGCCAGCTTGCCCTTGCTATAAGCCTTCAGGGTCTCTGCGGTAAAGGAAGAGGGATCAACGCCCTCGTGGAGGCGAACAAAGGCGCAAACCTCCTCGCCCAGTCGCTCGTCCGGAACACCGATCACCTGGAAACATAAGGTAATTAATTTATTTTTCAATTTATTTAACCTCTTCAAAATACCCACATGAGCTTCGATAATCTGCGGATGAGCATTGAGGAAATCTTCAATCTCTTTGGGGAATATATTCTCGCCACCACGGATTATCATCTCCTTGAGGCGGCCCACGATCCTTCCATATCCGTTTTCCTCCAGTATGAACTGGTCGCCGGTGCGTAGCCATCGATCTTTGCCAATCGTTTCCCGTGTCTTATCATCGTCACCGTGGTAGCCCAGCATGGTGGTATAACCGCGAACGCACAGCTCCCCGGGCTGGCCAAAGGGCACACACCTGCCCTCGGCATCCACCACCTTGGCTTCAATGTGATCCTGCAGGTGACCCACTGAGTTTAGCACAATATCGTCACTATCGCCGGGCAGGGATTGGAAAATGACGGCCGTGGTCTCTGTCAAACCATAGACACTGTGGACGGTCTCTACGTTGAGGACTTGTCGCACATCCTTGATGAGCTGCGGCGACACAATGGCTCCGCCAGTTATGGCCTTCTTGATCTTGCCGAGGGGAACCTGCAGCTTTCGTTGAGTGTTGACCAGATCCACGTACATCGTGGGCGTGCCATGGATCACAGAACACTTTTCCTTGACGATCGCTTGCAGGGAATCCTTGGGGCTGAAGCCAGCGGCCGGAAGTACCAAGGTGGCACCTTTGGTTAAGCCTGCCATTATTGTAATGACAACGCCAAAGGCATGGAACAAGGGTACTTGTACACAAATTCTCTCTCCCTCCAGCTCATTTCTATTGCCCACATGAATGCCATTGTTCACAAAGTTGTTATGGGAGAGGCACGCCGCCTTGGGATTGCCAGTGGTGCCCGAGGTGAACTGAATATTGCAGCGGGACTCTGGCAGGATATCCTGCTGGATCTTGGCCACCTCCTCGCGCTCCGACTTATTGGCCAGATCCAGAAGATCGTCGAAGCGGAGGGCACCCTTCAGGCCATCGTTGCTGTCAATGATCACGGACTGCAGATGGGGGAACTTCTCGCTGCGGATCCTGCCGCCATTCGCATCTGCCAGCTCTGGACAGATGCTCCTCAAGATCTCGTAATAGTTTTGCGTCTTGAATGTCTCCGGTGCAATGATGGCCTTCACATTGACCTTGTTCAGACAGTAGGCCACCTCGGGTCCCTGGAAAGCGGGATTGATGCCCACCGAGATGAGTCCTGCCCGGGCGGCTCCCATCATTCCTAAATACCAGTGCATGTAGTTGGGTGCCCACAGACCCACGGCATCGCCTCGCTGTAAGCCCAGTTTGCGGAAACCCGCTGCCAGGGCATCCGCCTCCTGGATCAGACTCCGGAAGGTGTAGCGCTTGCCCTCGTGACAGGAAACTATGGCCTCCGTGTCTCCGAATTCCGCTGCCGAGAGCTCCAACTGGTTGCCAATGGTGCGATGAACCAGGGATTCCTTGCCCACATGGTGTCTGTGACTGATGAGGATGGGCATCGACGTGGAGATGCTGAAAGGAAGTAAGCAATAAAAGGGATTAAATGAAGATATTCCTTATAATATAGTTTACCGATTTATATTGACTTTATTTAAAGCTTTTTTAAAAAATCTTTATTGGTTAAAGTGTATAATGATGGCCATTCTGATGTGGATTCAGCTCAAGCTGGGTTTTGAATATTCAAAGCTTTGCCAATAATTAGTCTTCAACCAGCTTAATGTGATTAGTCTAAGACGAGGTTTGATATAGTAAAGACGTGTTTTGAAAGTCTATACGTGTGTGATATTAAACAAACCTTTGTAAATGTTAATTAAAACAGTAATATAAAATATTAAAATTAATTAAATACTGAAATAAAGAAGAAGTAAAGTAAAGAAGCAGTTGCTTAAGCTTTTTAAAATATTCAGAAAGTAAATTCTGGTTAAACTCGTAAGCACTTCTTCGTACAAACTTTAGAAATAATATTTAAACAATTAAAAGTGCCAAATAATTAAAAACTAAATATATTTATGAGTGTTTGATAGTTCTATATACCCTTAAAAAATCAATTTGAGATCTTGATCCAGTGGCTTAGTCAGTACTTAGCGGCAGGTTATTATGCTTATAATTTTGTTTTTACCTTATATTTATCTCCTGACTCCTGACTTAATTGATTTTTTATACATGAATCAATATAACCTTGAGCCTAATCAGAAAAAGATATTGAAATGACCAAAAACAAGTCCCCAAAAGCACACACAAAAAAACTTTTAATCATTTAAGAGTCAAAAGGTTGATTAATGATAATAACAGGTTTTAATTATGATTGACTTAGGGGTTTCTCTCTGTGCAATTAAGGAACTTGAAAATATTTATTTATTTTACATATAAAATAACTACAAAATAAATGTAAACAAAATGAAAATTTATATTTCATATATATCTGTTAAACATTAATTCTAGTAAACCCAAAAACTACAAAACTATTTTTCTACAAACTCTATTACGTGTCAAAGAAACCGTTAATGTATTTATTAAGGTTTATTCTCCTGCTAGTTGGGTTTGTATTTTCGCTAAGTGTGAAAGCTTTTGTTAAAGGCAAAAAGCTTTTAAAAATAATAATAAAATAGTCTGCCTATATATAAACGCGTATGTTATCACTTGATTTATTATTTGCCGGCAGACAGATTGTGCTTACGATTTGTAAGCGTGCCTTTGATACCTGTGAAATGGGTGGAGCGTGCCGCAGAATGTTTTTGAAAATATATTTTTATATACATATAATTATCAGCGAGTAATTACCGGTTATTACACCTTACAGCTTGTTTTAATTAAATCAAGTTTAATATATATTTTATATTTTTGTAAAATCTGTTAAAAAGTAAACATGAATTATTATTATCTGTTGACTTGGCACTTGACTTTGCTGGCAGCCATAAATTATCAAGCGAGTGGAAAATTCTCAAAGCATTTTAACGTATCTCTTGAAAGTCACCAAAATTAATAGACGATAATTAAATATTTGATCAAAAATAGACACTAGAATCAGAGGAGCCACGCCCCCTTAAGCTGGGCTTTCAACTTGAAGTAAACTTAATTGTTTATTTAATTTAAATTATGTTGAGACCTTTGTGGCAACTGTACCCCTCCTCCATCTGGAATCTAAAATGTTACGCAATTCTCCACCCAGAATTCTGAGGGGGATAAGGGGGGATTTATAGCTAAAAGAAAATTAAATGCTGCGCAATTAGCTGGTGGAATATTTTACCTTTATTAAGATAATAGATAAAACCACAAATGACCTTGTGGTAGAGATAAATATCCTTGAGGGTCCTTGCTTACCTGCGCATGGATTTGAGGCCAAGGTGCTGCCTCAGCACATGCCTGGAGAGGATCTGCAGCTTCCTGTTCATCTTTACTGAATATATATCACAGACTTTCACTTGATCTTATATTTTAAATCTTGTATATTAATAATTGCTCATAATATGTCCCGTATGCACTTCCACAGGTTCTTAATTATTTATTGTTAATGTGTTTTTTTCTGAGGAACGTCCGCAGCCCGGCGAGTTCTGATATCAACTGAACGGGGAGGTTTTTTCAATAGTCGTCCGCTGTCGTCTCTCTGCCTTTGCTGCTGCCTTTGTGTGTGGTTTTGTGTATTTTTTTTAATAGTCAGACACGATCTTTGCCAGAGTTTGTTTTGCTTTGTGTTTCAACAGTTTTATTTTGTTTGCCTTTTTATTTTTTTTTTCTTTCTTTTGCCTCGGTCACTGTCTCTGCCTTTGCCAGCACGTGTGGCTTTTTTAGTTGTTGGTTTTGCATTTGTTTTGTGTTTATATTTTATTTGTTGCGCTATTAAGTTTGCTCGTCTGGTTAAGATTCGAAGCGAGCAGAGGCGTAGATAAGGGGGATTGTGCAGGTATTTATTTAAATTATATATTTAAACTAAATTATATATTTAAACCAGCTTTGGTTATACATTTTATAACTTAATATAGAAAATATATCATATAAATATATAATAAAAATATAATTATAATTTGTTATTTTTTTTTTTCTCTGTAATACATTACCATATATATTTCTATGGAACTATGTTTTACACATTCCAAAATTTCAATTTCTTAATATTTATAATTTTTTTTCTATTTTATTATAAATAATATATTTTCCTTCTTAATCCCCTTTCTAAAATACTTCTGCCTACGCCTCTGTTAATGTTTGAAGCTTTTTTTCAGTGTGGCGTGATTCGCAGTTGTACAATCTCTCAGGAAAGTGTGTTCTCCCACAATTATACTATTTCGCCAGCTATGGGAGAACGATTTAATGAAAATGTGTTAATAATAATATAATATAATATTGATAGAGATTTCTTAAAGCTTTTGACAGCTGTGTAATATGATAGTGTGGAAATCATTGATAAGGTTCTAGTACTGACTGATAGTCAGTTTCAATGGAATTGCTTCTGGTAAACCCATTCAAGTGGTTATTGATTGTTTTGTTTATAGGCAGTAGAAGAGGGCCATCGAAATGTTTTTAAATAACGAAAAACAATGCACAAAATATTGTTTATTGCTAAGCTGCATACTTAAAAAATACTATTGTATTTTTGGAACTAATTAATCTGATAAAGTTTATGTTTTTACAGAGGGGTCTCATGATTGCCATGTTTGCGTGTGCTTTGGGTATTGAAAAGTTTACTTTTTTAATCTTTTTATTTTATAACTTAACTGATAAGAGAGCAATCCCCAATCGATAAGAAAAGTTACTGAATCATTGACTCCCCGGCATCCCTGATAAGTTGGCAGACATAATTCGCTTGGCTTGGAAGTTTACTTGATGTTATCACAATACTTAGAAGGGGTCTTATCAAACCACCATGAAAAGGAGCGTCTACATTTGCGGAATAGCAGACTTCATAGATCTTTATAAGAATTTTATTCGATTTTTTAAATTGTACGCATGTAACCCTTATAATGCAATATGAATAAAATCTAAACTTTAGATTCTAAAGGAATAATTAAATATTATTATTTATTTATATTAATGTTAAATGTTTCTCAATAATTCAGATAAATGTTTATATAAAATAATAATAATATAATAAATATTTACTGAACGAAGACTGTCACTAAAGATTAAAGCTTATTTTACAGGTCAGATTTTTAGCAATAGTGTAGCTTCAACCAGCATAAAATTCCCTATTTAATTTGAGAGCATTGTTTATATTATTAAATTCTTTAAAATTAAAAACTGAAAGCTGACCGGCAACCAATGGTTAACCTTGGGGAGAAGTTTTAAAAAATCACTTAAGATAAATTAAGCATATCTTTGTCGAGACCCTGTGGAAACTCAATTAGGTTTTCCCATTTGGGTAATTCTAACGAATAAAATGAGTCCCATAAGACACGCTAGCAATAAGCAAAGAAAGGGTTGCCAAAACCCGTAAGAATTCCGGCAGTAATATGTACAATTTAATTCGAGCTTGATATATTTTTCTTTTTCCCGATTACTCCAAATTATTTACATTAAATCGCGTACATTTTTCATTAAAATATTACAAGAAATACGTACAAATACTAAACTGAGAAAACCAAATATTAAGTTTATAATTATGATAATTTACCTGTGGGATTCCCACGACTAATCCATTCCCATCTGTACTTTTGGATTTCCCACAGCCACTCAACGACGATAAGAGGGAAACCCCAACGAAGCCTGAGATTTTGGCGCGAAAACTCCGCTTGGGATTGGGGATTCAACAATTGTAAACAAACGCTTGCGCGGATTGCTCCTTTGGCTCTTTTTCGCGGTAGCGTCTTCGTCCTTCGACGTTTTGGGAGCTTCGTCGTGTTGCCACGCTACCAACAACCGAGTGGCAGGCCGAGTTTTCCTTGGGAAAACGGAAAAACTCTGAAGCTCTGAAACAACTACTGAAAACTGGCTGGCAGGCAAATCAGAAACTCGCAGACGCTCGTGGCAAACGGTTGTGCTTTATACTTGTTGTGGCTACCAAAAAAATTCAGAAGGAGACTCTTTTGGCCAAAAAAAAAAAAATATATATACATATATAAGTATAAACAGGGAAGAAAAAGGGGGCACTGCCGTTAACGCACACGCAACCGAAGCCATAAAAGGGGCTAAACATATAAATTTGTGTAGTAAAAGTGAAGAAAGCGAAAGAATCAAAGTGGAATAATAGCAAGCGGATGTGTTGGAGCAATTTTCTGTGTGTGTTCGAGTGTGTTTCGTTGTGTGTATGTGTGTCTCTCTCTGTTGCTGTTGCCGTTTGTGTTGCCAATGAAAATGCAAATTGTTGGTAACAAATATTGGTAAAATGCGGAGGCCGTAGGAATTTGTGCAATGCGAGTGCGAAGCAGCGGAGGAGGAGCCGCCAAGTATGCAATCCCAATCCCAAGCCGTATCCCCGAACCGAATCAATAATAATACAATAATAACCGACCGATATTACAAGGATAATGGCAGCATAAACCAGTTAACAGCCGAAAGTGTCTTTGTTTAGTTTCCCAACCCCCCGAAACCCAGCATAAAAGCCCTCCCCCCATGATCTCCGCTTGATTTCGGAGCAGAGATTCGACCACCCAAGGATGTCGCAGCCCCGCGCTGGCCGTGGCGGTCGAGGCGGCGGCGCTGGTGGCGCCGGCGTTGGCCGCAAGACCCCCTCCTCGCTGACCGGTCCGCCGGATGACTCGGCCACGCCCAGCGAACGTGCAACGCCCGCCAGCAAAGCCGATTCCGATCCCAAGGACGACAGCTCCAGCAATGGCGACAAGAAGGACATGGACTCTTTTCCCGCCCCCAAGCCGCCCAGTGCCGGTGCCTCCATACGGGACACGGCCAACAAGGTGCTCGGCCTGGCCATGAAGAGCGAGTGGACACCCATCGAGGCGGAGCTAAAGAAGCTGGAGAAGTATGTGGCCAATGTGGGCGAGGATGGCAACCACATACCGCTGGCCGGAGTCCATGACATGGTGAGTGCTGTACTGTACGCCGGTTTTTCGCGGTGAAAAAATAAATAAAACAAAATTTGTAAAATCAATTGTCAAGCAGAGAGAGAGCGGGATTCAGTATCGAAATAAGTACAGGAACAGGTATTATGCACTGAGGAAAATTTGATAAAAAACTGTTTATTTTTATATGAAAAAGCTGAGGGGCCATTAATTTCTAAAATATTTTTTTAAGCTTATGATTTTAGCTGAATTCTTTCCAATTAGCTCATATTCATATGTAATATTTTCTAAAATAGGTTTGTTTTTTTGTAGATTTTCTTTTTTTTTTCATTTACTTATTTAACTCAGGGCTTAATAAATAAATATTTTACAAATAATAATAGTTAAAATTAATACACAAAAAACGAGACTCGACTATATGTCAAATCATATTCATGTTTTGTTTTGTGAAGCCATTTCTTTGGGTTTCTATGTAATTTAAAAATTACTAAAAATTCCCCAATTACTTTTAATAAATTCTAAAAATTAAACAATAATTTATTCAAGTGTATTTGTCGGATGTACAAACGTCGCCCTTATCAACGTCGGCGGCATTTTCCGATTTCTGGTTGTTTACCAGCCAAAATAACGACACAGAGCCGCGCACAGGAGCTGGCGGCCAGAAAACAGAGCAGAATTCAGAGCTCAGAGCACAGAAAATAAAAGTCAGAAAGCAAAAAAAGCAAAAGCAGAAAGCACTAGCAGAAAACGGCGAACGAGCAGAGAATGTTATTTGATAGCGCGGCCCAAATGTTTGGCTGCCAAGGCGATGGCTTTTCCGGGACTGCCGGGAGTCCTGCCACAAGTTGCGCTGACTACCAGCCGACCGATAAACTCATAAAACATCGAAGAATTGAAGCGCTTCGATTTCAATTTACCATAAACGGTATGAAACGGAGAAGTCGTTGACATAAAATTAGCGTTGCGACGTCGACGGAGCCCCGCTAATGAAATGCGGCGAGGCGAAAAAAAAGGGTTGATGGGGTCTGGGACTTACCTTGGATCCCAACTTTCTGTCATAACTTCAGGCTGTGTCTGTTCTAGCCAGACTATTATTGTTTTTACAGTTATTGTTTTTACTTGATTACAGAATATTTATTTTAACATTAAACTTCAATCCATTTAACTTGCAACTTTAGTCCTTATCAATCAGTTTCCTATGCATATATTGTATAAACATTCCCCCCATTGATGTGAATTATAATCTAATTAATTTCTTATTAATGAACTTAGACTGCATAGTTGGGCCTAAAAGTATTTTAATCAAATTATGAATTGTTAAAACCATTACATGACAATTCAAAAATTAAAAGATTTTAATATTATTTTATAACAGTTGTTTCTACAATTTGTAAAACAAAACTGACTAAAGAAACTAAATTATAATTCATATTAAAAGGGAAGTAGGGAAGTAACCAAAGAAGATTTTCCTACTTTAAGAATATAAAGAAAAACCTGAGAAAATAAACCAAAAAATTATCTGTACTATCAAAACTTTTCCACCAAAAACCCAGTTAAATAATAAAGTTAGTTAAATAAATAACCCCAAACCATTTCCTTTTACAGAATACCGGCAT